CCTACTACTGTATTTTACTATGCATATTTAATTAATCTGCCATCCTCGTACCGACGAATTAAATGTATTAATGGTGAGCATTACACATAGTATAAATAAGTCAACCATAAGTATGGATTTGAATTTTCTTCCAAATGCTGAATTTGTGTCACAAATGCTGAATGTTACAGCTGTTATGTAAGCAAATATGTTGTACTAAAAGCTAGCTAGAAGCATTGACTATTGGAGAAGGTTAGCATCGGCTGCTAGACCTTTTAAAAACTTAAACTTAATTTATAAAAAACTGGGACACTAATTTTAAATTATGGCTTTGAAATTTCCTAGTTCTCAAAATTGTCTTTCTTTCAACACAAAACTAATGAAAATCCATCGACTGGTTTATTCAGAATCGTGAAAAAACCCCATTTACGTTTTAATAATATATATGATAGTTTGGACAGGTTTCAACCCTTCCGAGGCGTAATACATTTACACAGTTTATATTTAGACTACATTATAACTCATAAAATAGTTCTACAATTAAATGGATCTCCTTTTACAAACGTATATAATAACCAGAAATTTTCAGATCGTCCTTGCGTGTATTTTATGCCACAAATTTTGACGAAAGGCTATACCTATTTACAGTGTTGACCAAACAGTTGGCAAGAAGCATTAATAGATAAGCTATGTACCAAATATGATAATTTTAGCTCTATTCTAATTATGACAAAACACGAAGTAACTAAAAGCGAGTTTTGTTGGTGTAGTAAGCGTTGCAGGAGGTCTACTTTACACTGAATCGATGTTAACTTTTATTGCTTTTGATCTTCTGGCACTGTTGACTCAGCGAAACTGAACTTGTATTTTACCGTATTTCGTTATATTAAAACTGCTGTTGCATTAGGTCAAATTCCCAATAAGTCAATTCCTTTAACATAGACCACGTTTTTAGCTCGGACTGTATTATTTGACTTACTGGGACTTTTGACCTACAGACACTGCAAACATTGTAGTTTTTGACCTAGCGGCACAGGTATAAATTATTTGATCTTCCGGGACTGTTGACTTCCAGCAACATTCCCACTTGCGAACTGGTCATTGGTGAGATTCCCCTGTTGTTAGGAAAACTATGCTGTTATAAAAGTAAACAATATTGTTATGAACAACTCTTCAAGTCCCAATCACTAATCCAATCCCAATCCCAATCCACTAATCCCAATGAACCCTAACTTGCGAACCGGGTCATTGGTGAGATTCCCCTGTTGTTAGGAAAACTATGCTGTTATAATACTGTTATGAACAACTCTTCAATCCTAAGAGTTGTACTGAAACCGCTACATTAAAAAATTGTCATAGGTAAAATATTTAAATTGTATAAGCCTATTAATTAGTTATTATCTGTAAAGGAAATTATGAAGAGATCTGAAAAATGGATTGAGTGAATCATATCAAGATATCAAAATTCATTTCTCTGGCCCTGGGCTAATTTTCATGACGATACGTTTTACTTATACGTAAAATCGTAAAATAGTCCAACGATTAAGATTGCTCAGTAGCTTACATGTTTTGATGTTGTGAAGACAACATTCTGAAAGCTTACAACTCGTCAAAAACACAATTAAAAGATACACAACAAGAACATAAAAAACATTAATAATGTACATATACAGAAACATTTAGATATTGCTAGCTATCCTGATACTACTTATTTAGTCTGTCGCGTGGGATTGGTCACGTCACGTTGTCTCCTCTCCTACTGTTATCACTCATGTTATCAGATCATCTATCAGCTGTTCTTGAATGTAGAATCGTAGTGAGAACAGAACTGTAATTTTTTGTTAAAAATGTGGTCTTTACACTGTTTGTCATTACAAATTTTATAAATTTCAAACTCCTACAGCGTGTCAAGTTTGCTACCTTTCTCACAGAAATTTATATTTTCCAAACCATCGTCAATGCTGCTCATTGAGTGATTTCAGTCAACCAGATGTTGGGCAAAGACCGATTCCTTTTTTAACATTTTTGGAGTTGTCTGTGTTCCTTGTAACGGCTTTCAAATCAAGAACAACCATATTTTCTGTGATAATAATAAAATCAGCATGCATTTCAGATCTGTGGATGACACCATTTGTCTTATTAGTTTTTATGATTTTTCGTGCGATCTGAGCTTTTCACTTATCTGGCCTTGCTGTGGCCTGTTAAGGTTGGATAATCGATACTCCATTATATGCACCATTTTTATATTTTTTATGTTCCAGGTTGTGCTTGTTTTAATTGTGTATTTGACGAGTTACAAGCTTTAGTGTTATCTTTGCAACGAATCATGTTGCCTAAGCTGCTGAGCAATCTTAATCGATGGACAATTTGACGGAGATACATAAAGCCTATTATTGACATATCAAGATAGCCTAAAAATGAAGAAATGAAATTAAATTCAACTCTGGCCTAAGCAAGTTTTTGGTCCCCCACTTTTTTCCCTAAATAGTAAATTTTACAGAGGACGGAAAAACATCTGCTTTGGTTATTTGAGCAATTAATTTTTGGATTTAGTAAATGGTAGCAGCCTACAAAAACTAACATGTTTAACTATGTAGTAAATAAATGATCATCTGGCATTCATGCCTTGCAGATGATGTCCAAGGTTTGCAACTTGGAAACTCTTAGGATAATCTATTATTCTCTAATTCATTTTATCCATGTTTTGCCTCCTGGATTGATAAAGAGTAATAGTAATAATAATAGGCTAAATACCTTATTTACGTCTTCAATCCTAGTAGTCTTTTAGCGAATTTCCCTATAGGGAAGTAGCTATTACCGTAGGTGGCACGGTAAGACCTAGACCCGGGACCGATTTACTTTTTCATTTTGATGTCCCCAGAGGCCATTCGTTCAAATTTTTATATATATATACGTCCGTGAACGCGATAACTTGAGTAATTTTTGTCCGATTTTGATGAAATTTGGTTTAAAGGTGTAAAGCGGGATAAACTTGAATGAGTTCGCGAACCAGCACGATCGGACCATGGGAACGGGGCTTTACGGGGGGTTTTATGGGGTAAAAATTGGTTTTTCTCACTTTTGACCCTCATAACACAAAATTTCCCGATTTCTCTTTGGACCTTTTTAAAGAGCTTAAAAAAACAAATAATTTAGTATATAAAAGTATTTTTGTTCGATTATTAGTAACGGAGAAAATTTAAAAAATTGTAAATTTAAAATTCCCATGTTATTCTTATGGAGAATATTGTCAAATGTTGTAGTTTGCTTGTTTATGGATATATTTTGATCAAACTTGGCAAATTTATTTATTTTGTACTAAGCTATCAATATTTTACTCAAAAACACACTTTATTAGTTTCCTTGTAGCAGCAAACCTAGGTACTCGTTAAACCTAATGTTATAAAATATATTTAACTGAAAATCAATTCAGACAAATGGAAATTCGCTTAGTCGGCAGGTTTGCTGCGGCGGGGGTATTTATGATTACTATAGTTTCGGAGCTAACAGCTCCATTGTCAAATCTTCTTGTCTTGTTATATTACTGTTGATAGCATTGGTCATTGTTGAATTTCACATGTAGACATACACACACACACAAAACATTTATATATACAAGCAACATTGAAATTTAATATTTTAGCCGGCCTAAACAAAAGTGACTAGCGTTGTGGTTGTACGGACCGGTACACTGACTGACCAATGCTGGAATGTTGTGAAATTCAACAATGACCAATGCTATCAACAGTAATTTAACAAGACAAGAAGATTTGACAATGGAGCTGTTAGCTCCGAAACTATAGTAATCATAAAAAGACTACTAGGATTGAAGACGTAATTAAGGCATTTAGCCTATTATTATTACTATTATTCTAATTCATTCCCACATATCCTATGGGATCGCCATTTATGGAGCAACAACTAGGGCAAATTTGGATAAAATACTTATAAAACAAGACGTAAATATATTAGAGTGATCATGAAATTAAAAAGAACAGATTCAGTTAAAAATATCTTTCCCTGAATTGGGTATGTTAACAGTTTAAAGTTTGTATATTTATGAGACAATTATTTTTGCAAAACAATTTCATTTATTATCCACTGCAAGTAAATATAACACACGCTTTCAAATTAACCTTCCTAGACATAATTTAGAATTCTACACCAAAAAGCCTTCATATGCAGGATTAAAATTTCTTCAAAAATTACCTATTTGACTTAAAAAATAAAATAATACAGATTCAAAAGCCTACTAAAAGACTTATTCATAGATAAGAAACCCATTTTATTCTATCAAAGAATTCTTAAATTGTAATCTCGAAATGTTCATTTGAAAACCAGATACTACCTAGTTTTACTCTGTCGTAACCTTTTAAGATTTTGTGATTTTTAAAGTTATAGCACTCATTTTTAGTTTTACAATAGGCTATAGAACCTTTGTAATGAATGATTTTAATTATTTAGTTTAAATTTTTTTGTTTATGTTAGTTTAATGACGCTATTCAAGACATATTGTCTAAACTAACTTGAATAAAGAATATTTGATTGATTGATTGATTGATGTTATTTAAGCTTTATGTACCTAATCTCCAATCAAACATTTGTTGAGTTTACTGACACATAACCTGAGTTGATTCACATCACAGATTTACCTATTGTATAATTTCAGAACAAAATGCATACCAGCTCAGCAGATTCTCCCAGAATATTTTAGTAGGCCTATCTTAGCTACGCAGTATGAATTTGAAACAATAATTGAGTCATAGAACTAAAATAAACAAACATTTTCAAGGTTGGGATTAAATGTCAGTTGGATATTTAAAATATCACCGAGGATCTGTATTTTAGCAGGGACTGGTTTATGAAAAAAAATATAAATAATATGTTCATTACCGGTACAAAAAATGTAACAATTCATTTTTGTTTAAAATATTTATCCCATAGGCCTTACATAGGTATTTATTTACTATTTGCATTCTCAAACATTAAAATTAGGCAACACTTTATATAAAAAGTCAAACCTCATAAGTGTCAAGATGATCCTTGAAGTGTTTCTTCAAGTTGACCCGCAGAGGGTGCCAGAACAACTCGCGGCCAACTAGAGCTCTTGAGACAGCATGTACCAAGCAATGGCCGTCACCATCCGCATGTAAGGGTACAAGGGTGTCACTGCAATCATGTCAAATGCGTTTTAGGCCTATATAGAGATTTACAAGTTATTCATAAGCCTACTTTTTTACAACATTAATATAGGCCTAGCTTTATTGAATGAAACATGCTTGGGATTAACTATTCCAGTGAATAAAGGTCACTTTAGTAGCTTGTCAGTTTGTTCTTGAAGTGGGTTTGTAGGTTTTTTGCTTTAGGTGTAGTGGTGTGCGATTTTGATTCGATTCAGCATGCATCAAAATCCCTATGAGTCGACTTGGCCCAGATTCATAGGAAAAACTATTGCACCGATTAAATCCCAATCCCAATGCATAAATAAAACTAATTTAGGCCTCCAAAATGAGTTTTAGATAGGGATGTGTCGCTTATCGATACCACTGATACTTGGACATTGGTATCAGCATCAAGAATTGATTGCTAAAAGTCGATTCCGATACTCCGATACCGACAGCGACAGATATTTTATTTTAACATTTTTATTTATTAGCTACCTATTTGTTTTGTAATCACGGCTAACAACTTTAGTAGCCAACTTGGAACTATTTAGTTCAAAACAGCCACAGTGCCTTTGTTTAGCTTCAGCTGTTTTCTCTGCAGATGATATTATATTGCACAACACAATCTACAATTTCAAGATGTCAAGACAGTCAGAATTATTCAGTCTCAGACAACCGGCGCGATAATAGATCCATATTTTATCTAACCTATCTACCTAGTTAAAGAGTTTGGTGAAGTTTTAAGTGCTACTGGTATTATAACATAGTGCATTGATTGAAAAATATCATACTCATAGTCCATGTCGATTTTGTAATATTATAATGAATGGTGAATGTTGATAATCTAAGAAAAATCAATGTATGTAATGAGAGTTCTCATTGGTCAAGAGGCGACGCTGCACTGCCATTTCAGCCAATCGACGTTCGAGTTTGAAGAGAGCAAATGACGATTGCTTTGACGTCCTTTTTTGTGAGTCTATTGTGGGAAAGGTATCGATAAATTTTGAGAACTGATATGTAGGACGTGTTTGTTGATAAAGAGTATAAAATTAGGTTACAAGTTTAAAACAGTGTGATTTTCTTGTGTCTCCCAAAGACCTAGATTCGACGTTCAATCTGGCATAGTTAACTGAATCTTGAGCTATGGCTTTATAATATTGTAATAAAAACATACGATTTCTTCCGATTATATCGATATGAATATTTTTGGGTCAAAACATCGATTGTTCCGATCCATCTTTGCCACCCCTTCATGAAGGTTATAGACGTAAGAGCCAGGCCGGCCGGTTCTTTAATATTTTTCATTGAAATGGCGACCATACAAAGTAGGTATCTTAAGCCAAGTATGAATGGGTATGAGTGTAGGATGAGTGGCACGATCTTGTAGTCTTGTTTGTGACTAAGGCTGACATATTCCTTAGACACAGCTGTTAATTAATAACCCTAAGAGCTTTTTTAATGGCAACTAAGGGACCTACAGTTTATAGTGGAATCCTAACCACATTCTTGCCTTGGTATTAACGGATTGGTCTAATTATCAGGACAGTACTGGGGATAGTCATAGTACTCACTAGTGCGGACGTTAATCCACACCAGAGAGTTGCATCCACAGTGCATGCCTATAAATATCCACAATTTGTGACCTCCTAGTAGCTGGATTACAGGACGACGCCACCGTCCTAGTCACTCTTTGTATCATCGGGAACATACTTAAACACTTTTGTTACTAATTATATAAAACTATGAAATTTTTATTTTAAGCACCCGAAGAAACATATTTTGCTGCACAGTGCACACGATTCTTTGCCTTTCTTTCTTTATAGTTATAAGCTTTTTATGTTTAACCAAACATCTTTAATGGTAGGCCTACTGTTGATACAGCCATATTAGAAACTTAAGGCTGCATTTCATGAATCAGTTTGGATCTTGAGCACAAAGAGGTTTTAGTAAATTGTTTGATAGTAATAGTGTTAATATATGAGCTGCACATTTAGTTAGGTCTAAAGCTTTGACTACAAATAACTTACATATTTTCGTTGTACGGCAGTAGCAGAGCTAGAGTGTCTGCCAGGTAGCTAGCACTACCGCTTTCATCTCTCCCGTAACCGCTGATGTTCAAATGTCTCTCCTCGATACTGAAGCATCTGTCTCCAAATACACTACAGTCGAAGGTTGTCATCTGTAAGAGCTCTTTCAGTGGCTTCGCCTTCCCTGTCTCCTTGTCCATCCCATGACTCGTCAGCAAATGGGACAACAGCTTGTGATGGTAGTTTGAGACTCCAAGCACTTTTATAGTCTCAGGAGAGGCCCTGATGTGGTTTGATGTCTGAGTGTCTGTCACCAGGCTTATCATATTGGTTTCTAAGCCCTCCACGGGTTTTTTATCAAGCAAATTCTCAACATTGTGTGTCTGTCCACATCCCCAACATACCACTTTTGTCAAATCGGCTGGGAAGATAATACGGTAGTGACAGTACTCGTCTAAACATGTGCTGTAGAACATGCTCCTGTAAAAAAAAAAGATTTCCAGTTACTTGAAGACGTACCAGTGTCAGAGACTCTAGAGGCTATTTGTAGGTGATAATTTTGACTAAGATTAGATAGACCTAGGGTTAGATAGAGCCTCCATAAAAAAGAGGATGATTATGACTTTCGGAACTTACCAGGGGGGGATCCCACGTAATGTTTTAAAGTTCAAAATAAGTGAAGTTTTTATAGAATTTTTATAAACTAGAACTCTCTTACTTACATTTTGGGATTTTTGTAAAACTTGTTTGAAAATGCCTAAAAACGCATACCGGTAGCCTACATTGTATGTTTTTAAAAGTTTGAGCTAGAATTTTTTATTTGCTAACTTAAGTTAGGCCTATATATTTTTAAAACAATCATGAAAATATCTTGGCTTTCATTTTAAATGAGGCATAAGGCTTAAGTTATGTTAACAATGCTATTGAAAAAATCTTTTAGCGGAATCAAAAAGCAAATGGGGCAAGCTAAATTAGTCTCTGGTCTGACTGGTGAGCGATGAGCAGAGAGAGACCATGCTTTATTAATGTTGCAACAGTCTTGAGTGTTAAACACAAAATTTTATCCAAATAGGAAATAAAACTTCTACATAGTATAACTCATAAGCTATTATTACAGGGTGGTAACAATATTTAAACTTAAGTTTCCAGTTATATCCTTATTATATTTAAGGTGTTTGAAGATTAGGCCCAAAGCCAATTGCAGTACTAGGCCTAGGGTAGGCTACATGTGTGCAAAAAAATTTTCAATTTTCTTAAAAATGTCAAAATCCTGGACATTATAAACTTAAAGATTTGCCAATAATCCCCCCTTGGCGTTTTTTGACTACGCAAAAAGAGGACGTGTCCAGGATAAGGACGTCTGGGATCCCTATAACCTTAAGATAATGAAAACATTGTGCCATTTGATTGAATGGTAAACTCGTTAAGTCTCTTAATACAAGTTGATTTTTTCACATAGTGTTTTGATCTTGGACCTGCGAAACGTTATCACCAGTTTACTACTTGACGACAAAAATGTGTAAAGGTATTACTATTAATAAAATTATGTTAAGAAAGAAAATGTATTAGCATTTAATATACAACAGCAATGCAATAACTGAAAGCATTGGTGCAGACAGTGGTTAGTGTTCAAATACAAAACTGAAAATATCTTCATATTTATTGATAATGGGTTATAAACCTCTAGAAAATGAACTGCATTCTATAAACGGCTTTGCAACACGAGATTTAGAATCTAATTGAAACAAAACTATCATCGTACAAACAAAATACACACTTGCCCTAGGATAATAGGAACACAAGAGAGGAAAGGTAGTGTAAACCTCAGTTGACTCTTATTTCAAGACGGTTAACTTAACTTAGTTGTACTGTGATCAAATCCATATAACACACATGAGACATTATATGGCAACTAACTTACAGATCTGTATTTAACTGTAGACCTTGACTTGCCTACTTTGATATTCAATGTTTTCTCTAGGTCAATAGGGCTCTAAGTTACATTACCTCACCATTAATTGTCAGTAAAGGTAACTAGCCAAGTAGTAGGCCTATAACTAAAAGTAGGCCTGCTCTATTTATGATACCTTTCTTAGTACTCTCTTAGTCTCTTGTGTACTTATCATCAATTTCTACAATTTTTTATAGGCCTACTTAACTTAATGGGCCCTAACGTAAGCCTAACTACTTTAAGTTAGAGAACAATTTTTTACATTCAAGGCAAACAAAACTTTATCAATTAATCCCTTAGAGCATAGGCCTAAGTGGCCTACAACACCTAAGAACCTAGAGCAAAGACTACTAGAGATTGGGCTACTAAAATCCTGACCCTGGTGGAAATGATCACGCAGCCTTGGTAATGTCCGTCAGTCAACTGAACAGTGAGGTGAGTCAATCTTTGCCCTCTTGGCACTCATCGTATGTTTGTAGAATAAAGGCTAGGCATCTCTAATCCCCGCACCCTAGACTTTTTTAGGGACTCTTTATCAAGTGTACGATGGGAAAATGTGCTGTCAACCAGAGGTGAAATGTGTAGTTTTGAACAGTTTTTTGAGTTCTTTCGGGATATTGTTGATGCTTTCTTTCCAGTTTCTGAGCAGAGATTTAAGAATAAGAAAAGAAGCCCAAAGCCCAAGGTTAAATATGGAGACTGGTATACACCTGAACTCAAGGATCTTATGTTTGCCCTTAAGGATAGGTTTAGGGAAGACAATGAGGTCGCAACCTGGAGGATGTACTTGGCTCTTAAGAAACAGTACAAGGGAAGGATGGAGCTAGCCAAGAAAGCTTATAATGCCAAGTGTATTGAGGAGGCCCCAAACAGGTGCAAGGCTGCCTGGGACCTTGTGAATATTCACCGTACAGCACCCAAACGTGAGGTTGTTTTTGCCAGCCCGGACGACTTTAACAACTTTTTCTGCGATTCTGTGAGGGACATTGTTGATCGCCTGCCCCCATGCGTCGTCGATCCGGTTGACTTGTTGGCAGACAGAGTTCCGACCCGAGACAATGTGCGGTTGAATACCTGGAGACTTGCCACTCCTGAATCCATCAAGTCTATTGTAGGAAGTTTTAAACCCTCTACCAGCCAGGATGTCTATGGTATGTCCCCCAACCTCATCAAGACCATTATTGGTGAAATAGATGCTCCCTTGTTCTTCTGTATTAATGATTGTCTTCAGATGGGATTTTTTCCAGATAGTCAGAAGGTCTCGAAAACTGTTCCTGTGTTCAAGAAGGGGGATGTGACAAGCCTTTCGAGCTACAGGCCAATTTCCATAGTACCAGTTTTTGGGAAGGTGATGGAGGCGGTCATTAAACCCCAAGTGGAGGACTTTTTTGAGGAGAACAAACTCCTCACTGAAATGCAATTTGGTTTTCGTCGTGGAAAATCTACGGCTGCCGCTAGCAGTGGCTGCAGTGGCAGAACGAGTCAGTGCTGCTTTTGAAGACCATCGCTCAACCACACTTACTCACTGCGATCTGAGCTGTGCCTTCAACACTGTGTCTCATGAGGTGCTCCTTAAGAAGCTCTACTTCTACGGGCTGGACGGAGTCGTCCTATCTACTCTTCGATTCTACTTTCTAGATCGTACACAGATGGTGACTTTGGCAGGTGCTTCCTCCTCTTGCAGAGCTGTGGAGCATGGAGTTTCTCAAGGATCCATTTTAGGACCGCTTTTATTCATAATTGTGATGAATGACCTGGATGATGATGGCGGTACCCTTCTTTTTGCGGACGACAACACCCTCCTGGTTCAAAATCTTCAGGAAATAAATGAAGATATGGAGCTTCGACTGCGTAACGCTTCAGCCTGGTTTGTAGCAAACCGTTTGGAACCAGCTGAACCCTGACAAGACCCAGAGGATGGTTTGCTGTCTGGCTCACATTCCTCCTGTAGATCAGAGCCAAGTTAAGCTCTTGGGAATTGTATTGAACATAGGCTAGGTTGGGATCAGCACATCGACCAGACTATAAATAGACTCTCTCGTGTCTGCGCCCTCCTTCTCAAGCTGAGATCATCTGTGACTGAGGACTACCTTAAAATGGTCTACTTTGCTTTATTCCATTGCCACGTTACATATGGACTGCTTTTGTGGGGACATTCTCCAGGCACAGTAGAGATTCTCAAGATTCTGAAAAGGGCCTTAAGAATCATCACCTTTAGTGACAGACGGGCTCATAGTAGGCCCCTTTTTGTGAGACTAGGAATACCTAGGTACTGTCTTCGGTCATTACGTTCTCCTGTGCCTTCTTTATGTTTGGGATAAACATAGAGACCTTACGTCCCGTGCCATGGTCCATCCCTACAACACCAGGCAGAGAAACATGCTGGATGTTCCCCGCGTTAGGTTCTCTAAGACAGCTGCTACATACCAAATTCAGGGGCTTAAGTTCTTTAACAAACTGCCAATGGTCATTAGGGGCTGGAAAAGGGGTTATCTCAAAAAAAAGCTAATGTCGCTAATTAAAGAGAGAGCCTACTACAGCATCTTTGAGTTCATGGATGATAAGGAAATAGCAAACATGCGGTAGCCATCTTTTCCATCATCCCTGAAAGTAATTTTTAACTTGTATATATGTATATATATTGATTTTTTATATCTAAACGGTTTTACACGTTGTGGACTTATTTTTCTTTTGTGCGTGTAAAAGAAATGTTTTATTTTTTTGTCGAGACACAATCTATCCCTTTTTTGGGTAAAAGATGAAGAAGGAGCAAGTAAGTAGGCCTAAGTAAGTAAGTTCTTATTCCAGTTTATGTAGCCTTTTGTAGGGATAACTTATAAGTCTGAGTAACTTAGGCCTAAGTATAAGGGTAACTTAGGCCTATAGGGTAACATAGACCTAAGTATAGGGGTAACTTAGGCATAAGTACAAGGAATGTCGGTAATTGTGTTGCCAGTCAACGCAAAAAAAATATTTTTGTTATCTAACTTAACTTACCTAACATATTTGTTTTCAACCCTGATTACAAAAATTATAGTCATTTTTGGCAGAAAAGCAGTTTTCCCGGAAAAGCGGAAAAGTTACCGGTACCGTACTTAAAAACTTTTTTGTCCAAAATCCATGTTGTGAGTAACTTAGGCCTGAGGTACTCAAATTGTGTGGAATTTCAAAACCATTTTAACAGTATATTTTTCATTAACATCAGGCAATTAATAACCGCAAAATGTTAGGATAAGTTAGTTTAGGTTTTAATTAACCTAAGTTAATAGCCTAACTTAAACTAACCTAACCAAACCAAACAACAAAATGTTAGGTTAGGTAAGGTTGGCTTAGTTTAGTTTACTTAAGAAGTTAGGCCTACTACAGCATCTTTGAGTTCATGAATGATAAGGAAATAGCAAACATGCGGTAGCCATCTTTTCCATCATCCCTGGAAGTCATTATAATATTGTAGGTCTATATATGTACCTATATATATATTGATTTTTTATATCTTAACGGTTTTACACGTTGTGAAACATTTTTTCTTTTGTGCGTGTAAAAGAAATGTTTTTTTTTTATTTTTGTCGAGACGCATTCTATCCCTAAGTTTGGGTAAAAGATGAAGAAGGAGGGAGTAAGTAAGTAGGTTGGTTAATTGAAACCCAAACTAGGCCTAGCCCAATGCTTTGTTAGATTAGTTTAGGTTATTTAGTTAACGTAGCCTAGTTAAACCTAACCTAAACTAAGTTAAGCTAAGTTAACCTAAACTAACATTTTGCTGGCTTTTGCAAGGTTATTGATTGTTGGATCGTAATGGAAAATACACCGTTGAATTCATCATGAAATTCTGCACAATTTTGAGTGCTCACAAAATGACTTTTGGGCAGACTAGGCTATTCGTAAAATTCCTAACATATCATTTTTGGAATCAGCACTAAAAATTTAACAATAAAAAAATATTTTTTAGAGCGTTGACTGGAGGTTGATATAATTACTTGAATGTCACACGCAACTTAGGCCTAATTAACCTAAGGCGCATCAGGTTAATATAGGCCTAGGTCTAAGTTAGGCATAGGCTACTTATCTCTAAGATCACTAAATTGGTCAACCTTCAGATCAGGGTCGCCAACCATCCCGATTCTGTCAGGACAATCAGACCTTCTGGCCCATCCCAATTTTATCCCTAACCAAAGGTGACAACGCTTGCAGCTGCAGATAGCCAAGGCTAACAAAGATAAATAGGGATGAGCGATAAATCACAGACTGTGATTTTGTCACCGATATTTTTAAGTCGCAGTCACAGTCTGTGACACGATATCAAAAGTAGCAGCTACCAGAGTCACAGTCTCTGTTCACCATTTGCAGTCGCAGTCGCAGCTTTTTAGTTCAAAATATCGACTGTAGAAGCGCGAGCAGCGCTGTGACTGAGCGAGTCACACTCTGTTCCCCAGTCGCAGTCACAGGCTTTTAGTTCAAAATATCGACTGTAGGAGCGCTGTGACTGGGCTGTATCCGCCGTCCTTGTAAGTGCTGCTCTCTGTATCCTTCGGATTTTGAGCGAACTACTGTACTTTGAGCGGGCTTTGCACCCTATATCGTCAACAGCGCGAGATCACAGTAGCAGTCATTCGGGGTTTGGAGCAGTCACAGTCACAGTCGCAGTCACAAGTAGCTGGTTAGCCGTTCGAGTGATGCACGCCAATGGCATCGTCACAGTTTCGTAGTTTTGAGTATCACCGCACGGAGCGCCACCGTAGCATATATCGCTGTGACTAGTCACCGATATTTTTAACCGATATTTCTTTGTCACAGTCACAGTTCCGAGTGATATTTTAAAGTCACTGATATTCTCATCCCTAAAGATAAATAGCATAGGCTAATTACTTTTGTTATAGGCTAGGCCTAATAGGCCTACTGTAAGTTACTATGGAAGTGTGCCTGTAGGAATAGGCCTAACTCCTCTTTGTTGCCTACAGTATTGGTTTCAGGGGATTGTTAACCTAGTTTATGGGATGTTTGCTAAAACTGTATTTGGGTACACTTCCATATCTGTTGGCACAAACAACCAAATGAGTAATATTGATTATTCGATTGTTTAATTCGATATATCGTTTGGTTAGTTAGGTTAGGTTAACCTTACCTAACTAACCGAACGATTTATCGATCGATATTATCATTCGGTTGTTTGTGCCAACAGATAGGCCTATGGAAGTGTACCCTGTATTTTGGAAGTAGGCCTAGGTCTACCCTACTGCTCTTATAGATAATATTGGAATCAAGGTATTGTTATCGATACTTGGGCTACACTGTATAGGGAATAGGCCTATGTTGGATTGGTCTAACTTGCTAGAAGTTAGTAGAAGATATGCCTAGGCCCGGGATACACAATCTGACCAGTGTAGAGGAATAGGTAGACCTAGGCCTATCATTAAAATGGACAAACAACAAACGTGAATTGTAAATGCCCTCTCCAAAAGCATTCTATAGCTGCCTATCTAAGTTAACAAAAGATACTCACATATTGCAAGAGTCTAAGAGTTACTTTACTTTTAGTAAAACGTTAAATTTTCATTATTGGTGATCGTCATGCTCCAGGGAAGGAAATGGATAAATGGAACAAATTTTGGAGGGACTAGTAGAGTAGTAGAGCCGGTAAAGGTATGGTTATGGAGAGACGGAGAGTGGAGTGAGGACGAGGACGAGGAGAGGACTGAGACTGAGGGGAGAGTTCGAAACGAAACAAGTGAAGTGAGGAGTGGGGAGTGAGTTAGTGTGGTGAGAGAGAGAGCAGAGAGGACTGAGGAGAGAGGTAGAGGTTCAAGAATCAGGACTCAGGGTTGAGATTTTAACTTTAGCTTTATTTTTTTAAGCAGGCTTTGGTTTAATAGACCAGGCAACCTCATTGTACACTGAGTAATTTTAGTTTTTTTTTTTTTTTTTTTTTTTTAAAGTAAAGGAAGTAAAAAAAGAACTAAGAAAGGAAGAAAAAAGAAGAAAAAGAAAACTCTTCTTTTATTTAGTAAGCATTTTCCCTCTTTTAGCGAATTTCCCTATAGGGAAGTAGCTACTGTATTGCCGTAGGTGGCACGGTAAGACATATTGCCTTTGATGTCCCCAGAGGCCCAAAACACCATACGTAAAAAAAACAATATATATATATATATATATATATATATATATATATATATATATATATATATTAATTCGGAACATCTGTCTCCAAATTCAGAAGAGAAATGAAATAGATCAAATGAAAATCCCGGAATAGCTCATTATTTTTTACTCTCTGTATTCCTTTAATTCTTCTTTGCGTTATCTTCATTTGAATTCATTCTATCACCCTGCCAATGACATATTGAACGCTTTTGAACAAAAAGAATATGCCTGGGCGACCTTCATTGATCTCAGCAAAGCGTTTGACTGTGTCGACCATGATGTCCTGCTCCATAAGTTGGAATTTTATGGTGTTCAAATTAATGCTTTAAAACTGCTGAAGACATATTTTGTAACCGAAGACAGATGGTTTTCAGTGGGGGTCGGTGGTCCGCAGTTGCCTTAAGCAACTGTGGGGTACCACAAGGCTCTGTCTTGGGCCCTCTGCTATTCTTAATCTCTATAAATGATCTTCCATCCAGTCTCAAATGTAACACATACCTTTATGCTGATGACACAACTTTGCTTACACACAGCAGAGATTTAGAATCTCTTGAGCTTGAGGCAAAAAACTCAGTAAAGGTAGCAGCAGAATGGTTCTCTGCGAATAGCTTTCTGTTAAACGATGAGAAAACCCAAACTGTTGTCTTTGGACTTCGTAAAATTCCTGAAGCACAATGTGATAAGGTCAAAGTTGTTAAGTTTTTGGGTGTTTATGTGGATCAACTCCTGTCATGGTCATATCATGTTGAACATCTCTGTACTAGACTAAGTAGATTGACATTTCTTTTTAGAAAACTCAATGATGTTGTTCCTTTTGACTATATAAAAACTGCCTATTTTGCACTTTTCCAATCAGCTCTTAATTATGGAATAATCTTTTGGGGCAGCAGCCCTTACATCACTGATGTTCTTTTAATACAAAAAAAGGTGTCAGGATCATGGCAAATGCCAATCACAAGGAACACTGCAGACCAATTTTTGTAGATTTTAAGATTTTGACCGTTGTTAATTTATTTTTATATAACATTTTGTTGACTAGTTTTAAGAACCTGAAATCCCACACTCTTAGGGGTGATGTACACAAGTTTAATACTAGGAATAGAGGTAAAATTGACATCCCTTATGTTAGACTTGAAAAAATGAAATCTTATTATGAAGTACTGGGACTCAAATGCCTAAATAAACTCCCCAAGGAAATACTGTTATTGAACAACAAAGCCTTCAAAAATAAAATTCTTCTGTGGCTGACTGTACACCCTTTTTATGGGCTGGGAGAATTTTTTGAATGTTCAACCAAAGAACTCATAATCTAGTCACTGCCTTGTTCTAAGTATTTTTTTTTCACTAAATTATATCTTGTTATCTATTTTTTCTGTAAGTATACCGTAGTCTTCACTGTGCCATCTAAATGACCTTAGTATCTATTTGATTTTTTTGTTTATGCCTTATTTGTTATGTGCTGTAATTTATCTTTGACTTGTGTTTTTGCAGCATGTATTCAACTTTTTTGACGTATCCTAATGCATGTACATGTCTAATGGAATAAAATATTGATTCTGATACTGATTCTGAATGCATTACTTGTTCAAATGTTTGTTTGTATACCTTTTGTTTGCATAGTTGCATACTTGATTTGATATCTTTGTGTTGTCTCATTAAAGTAGTAGCATGTCACTTGATGATTGGAACTTATAATTATTATTGTCTCATGAATTTGTTGAGTCTGAATTTAATGTATTTATTAAGAGCATTTTCATAATCTTTCGGCATTATTGTACTTGCATTTAACGGATTATTAAACTGCAAAATATTTATGGTAAATATATTATAGTTGTAATTTTGTTATTAATTGATTGTATATTATGGTTTTTATTTATTTACAATCTAGCTGTCTTGATTGTTATTATTGACTTACATTGTAAAAAATGGTGGAACCGTTGATAGTAAATTAATAAATATTTATGTCTATTTTTAAAAAAATGACTGAAACTTAGGTTACATTATTATTGGCAAAAATGCATATGCACATCAACATTTATGTGGCTATGGGAATAAGTTGGGAAACGTTTGCAGAAAACACTAAAAAATGCAATCTTCTAAAAAATTAAAAATATTTACAAAAAAAGTTGTATTGTACCGAACTGTTCCTAACACAGTAAAAATGTCTTAGTTACATAAGGTCTTGGTGAGTCTTTTTAATTAATTGAAAATTATGACTGTTAGAAGTCTTAAAAAAGGCTCCTGTAAAACCGGTACTTGACAATTGCTTGATTTCGAGTTCGAGCCACGGTACACTTGTTAAAAAATTCAACAATATATTAACATAATAAGCTCTCTTTCACACATCATGATTAGTAAACGGCATAAGTTAGGCAGAACGGAAGAACGGAAGAACGGCGGTATTTGTTTACCATAAACGCCTGCAACAATGCGCTGCAAACCACGTGACATGTAGCTAAATGAACCGTAGAGTAAGTGAGCCGTCTTCTATTTTTGTAATATTTGTAATGAAATAGTCTCTTTTAGTATATGAGCATATTCCTGTAATTTATATAAATTCTGTATTTTAGCTCGTCCAACTATACGAGCTTATTTCTGAATTAAAAAATAATTTGTACGCTTGGCTCATAGGCACTATGATATGCAGAATAAGTGAACCCTCTTCATTTACCTATTTGATATTTTCGATAGGCTCGTACAGTACTAGTAAGCCTGTAGTGATCGTATAGACTATGATCTGTAGAGTAAACTGATCCATGTGTTTTAAGAATTGCATATTTGGAGGCTCATAGTGTCTATGATTCGTAGTGTAAGTGAACCCTGACCACTCGCGCCACATCAGCCTCAGAGACAGGAGAAAGCACCATAGATGAGACCGGACCTCCAGATACATTTGTGGCAAGCGATGGAATTTTGAAAAGGAGATTTGGTAATGCCACCGATGAAAAGTATTGATTTAATGTATTTGCCACTTGGTTTGAATCCTTGATTATTTGACCATTAACGTCAAGTGATATTTTTTCAGTATATTTGTCTACATGACTTTCCAGGCTGATTTGGGAAAAATACTACTATTTTGTAATGCTTTTTCTACATCCATAGGCTTTTGTTGCTTTAATTACTTTGCTATAGATTATTATTTTATAATTACTAAAAAAAGTCATAACATTTTCATTTTGAGTTTGAATGTAAATTGAATGGAACAATTATAGTTTTTTTCTCGTAATACCAAAATACCGCGAAATCCAACGGATTACTTGGACAGGTTTCTTTGGTTTAATTTTTGTAAATGGGCAACAATTATTTAAATGAAAATTAAAACATTATTGTCAAAAGCCTTAAACGCGTCATCAAATTGTGTATATTTTTTTAGAAACTGCCATTTTTTCAGTTATCTATAACCTAGTTTATCCAAATAAACCTATCTAATCATAAATAATAACTCGTAAACTAGCTATATAACCAAACAGTGAGACACAAATAATGAGAAACTAACCCTAAAATAATATAAATAAATTGTAAACAAAACACGACATCTACAGAAACCCGGACAGAACTAACAATCAAATTGGCTTCAGCTGCTTTATAAGGATGGGAAATCTACTAAGGAACAATGAGCGCGTTCTGGGAACATGTACCGGTGCACCGGTGCAGATAAACCGGTGACTTACTCATCGGTACCGCCCATACCGCCCCGGGGCAAGAGTCAAGAACGCGCTCTATGTTTTATCTATGCTAGAGGCATTTTTCCGGCAACAAATTAGAGAAAGAAAAAAACTAACAAACATACAGCACAGAAATAGAAATAGACTAACCAACGAGGAGTATGTTTAATCTATGATACAGCCAAAAGGTCCCACTTTGCCACAAAGTATAAATTCAAATTTAATTTTAGGCTTCATGATATAGTCCTGCAAGTAAACTGGAAGAAAGAAAAATATGCGATGCGAATAATAAGAACAAGAAGCAACGTAAACAACAAGTAAAGTAAAGTAATAAGTAACGAAGTGAAAGTAAACAAGCAAAGCAAGTAACAAGTTAAGTAAAAGTAATCTAAGCAAGCAACTAGAAACATAACATAAACTGTTGTTGTTTTTGGCTTGTTCCTTATAACAACGCGATTTCTAAGGAAGTCGAGAGTATTGATTTATTTTCTCGAATTCGACACCCCTTGATTCACTATGGCAGATGATTACGAAGCTGTAATTAAAGGACCATTGAAGCTCAAAAATGAATCCGGTGTGAAAAAGTGAGTGACAATGTTTCATAATAGCCTAATAAATACTTTTGGGTTGAGGATAGACCTTTCCTTTTATTTATTTATCCAAACAGAATGATGACTTAATGTGAAGTCAAGAGAGTTGGCATAGCAATGACTTATAAGACTAAATCATTAAACATTTTATTTGCTGACCATTAAATACATACTGTAAATAGCCTACAATAGACTAAGTCATATCAAGCAATACAATTTAACATGCACCAATCAAACAACATCAAATAATAAAAAGCAGACGAAGCGAGTCTGGCAATCAGCCAAGCAAATGACCACTTGGTAATGATTTAGTATAGGTGTCCTACTATAGGTCGGCCGCTTAGAAAACGACCTCCTCCAGCATTGGTTTAGCTTTAGCGCGCAGGTCGTTTTCTAAGCGGCCGAACTATAGTCAATAAGCTCTGTACAGAACTTATTGATAACTTAGGCCTAGATCAAGTAGTCTTATGAGTCATTATTTATTTATTTACAGTAGATCCTCTTTAATCCGAACTAATTGGAACCGGGGGTAGTTCGGACTAGTGATAGTTCGGATTACAGAACATATTGTTGTTTTTACATAACAATAGCTAAGGAAAAGTTAAAAATGCTTTATAAAGTAAAATACAGAGTTTATTTAATACAGTAGTAAACATAGGGAATAATCAGTACTGTACATTACAATTGAAATAATTACGGTGCTTACATCAATAAATACAGTATACAATAAAAAACTACTGTACTGTGTATAGAGTACATTAATGAGACGTTCGGATTAGTGGACGTTCAGATTACAGGGGTTCGGATTAAAGAGGTTCTACTGTATTTATTTATTCATTTATACATGCCAACGGCTAAGCCAATACATAGATGTAAACAAGCTAAACAATAATTCAATACTCAATAGAATACTAATACATACCGGTAGATGAAAAAAAAAACAAGCTGAACAATACAATACTCAATAGAATACAATATAAATAATCTGACAATGAATAAGTTTTTATTAATAAGTTAGTCATTACTAACTTGACCAACTCTCTTGAATTCACATTGAGTGATTAGGCCTATTCCGTTACGATAAATAAATAAAAGGAAAGGTCTATCCTTGACCCAATTAAGTTACAACTAGCCTAACATGCCTATTTTTCAATAAAATCTTCAATGAAATGAAATCTGGGATCATATTAGGTTATGCTAAAAAAAAGTAGCCAAGAATAGGCATAACTTATATAGTTCTAATTGATTTATAAGTGTTTAAATCGTAACCCTTCCCGGACGGGCGGAATCGTGACATAGAACAGAAAAAATAGGCTATAGGAAAAAATAAAAATTTATTTTCCTTTTTTGTGTTTTTTATACAAGTATACATCAAATAAGCACAATGGAACACTTCATAACTTACTGTCAAAATAATTGTTTACTCATCTTTAATCATGCAGATATATGCGCTACTTACCCCTCTGTGAATGAGTAGAAAAGCAGCGGATATATCCGCCACCCGTCTTTGAAGATATGACCATGACAACGATAGGCAATAAATAAAGAACAAAATGTAAACAATAAATAAAGACAATGTAGTGTTGAGCACGAAAGGTCGAGGGGGGAGCGTAGGAGAGGTTGGAGGTGTGCGGGAGAGGGATAGGCGCGTTAGAGAGGGGGGAGTGCGGGAGTGAGTGCAGCCATGGAGAGAGCAGGAAAGTGGCGCTTTGGTACAGTAGAGTCCCGCAAACTCGGCGTAATGTAGACTGGAAGGGTGCCGAGTTTGTGAAATGCCGGGTTATCGGGAACTAGGGTTAAAAAGTAAGAACAATAAAATTTTTAAGCTTTTTAACTGTCTCTTTTATTTATATTTATATTAAAAGTTAGTAATAAGTCATGAGATATAGTACAACATATCCTTGGTACGAGCTGCGAATGATTTGACTTGTGCTGGCTTGAGTAGGTACATGTTTAACTCGGACTCAAAATCACTAATTTTCTGAGCCAGGTGATGGCCGAGTTATCCAGACTGCCGGGTTATCGAGTGCCGAGTTAGCGGGACTCGACTATACCGCGAAACATCTGGTTACGGCTTAAGCACCTGCCAGTCTGTCTGAAGAGAAGGCGGATATATCCGCTTCCTGTCCGGAACATCAAAAACCATAAGCGGATTTATCCGTCACCCGTCCGGGAAGGGTTAAGGTTTCTTTATTCTAGGCTACATCAACAAAATTGTGACCAATGTGCCTTTAGCTTGCCTTAAACTTTAGCCAAATTTGGTCTGCTGTAGGCTTAGTCTCTATTTAGTTCACTCATGTGTGTGGCTTATGTGTTACACACCCACAATACCCGCAGAGCCCCAGACCTTGACATGCCTCGGTGCCGACTTGCACAGACAATGAGGAGTTACCCGCGTTCTGCAATTAGGGTATTCAACACCTTGCCTAAACGAGTGCGTGACATGGACCTGCCAGACTTTAAGAGGGAGATACGTGATGGACTGCTGAATAGGCCTTTGTACGCCTTGCATGAGTTGGAGAGTGAACCCCTTTTTTTAACGTGACACGTCCGCCACAAAAGTAGAAGTAAAAGTATATGTAGATATTTTTTAATGGTTTTATAGTGTTTATATGTAAATAGTAACATGACGCAATCTATCCGACATGTCGGTCAACGATGTAGAAGACAAGTATTCAAGTAAGTAAGTAAGTAAGTTAAGGGGCTAGTAAACTTCAAGCCCTTGATTTGCCGCATTGCAACACCAGACTTCTGGGCTTCTGTTTCAATAGCCTAGGCCCTAATTATTTACGTACACTCAGGCCTATAAAGGCAAAACTTTGATTGGCTTAGGCCTAATCAGCTGTAGTCTATCGTATTATCGATTTTTAGGCCTACAATTGATAACGTTCGAAGATCTGATGAAGTACCGGTACGATAGTTTTGCCCACATAAAATCCCTTAAGCTAGCTTACCTACTTATCTAACCTAACTTACCAAAGTCTGAAATGAAATGATATTCATATAACTTATCTATAGACATTAACTTATATAAATGTATGAGACACAGTTAAAATGAGGTATACAGTCTGTCCCGTAACTCTCTGGACACATGTTATATTGTTATTACTTAGGTCAAGACAAACACATTTCACCATAAGACATAAGATCAATTGATTTCCTTTATAGGTAACTTTAAGTACAAAGTCATTGGAAAACGTGTAATTAGTAGCCTACATTATGAAATATACATTAAAGACTCGCCTTTGGCTCGCTGGGGGCAGGCCCCCTTTTTTGGTTGGGGGTAAATACAAACGGGCCATGGTGCAAGACCTACAATTGAGCCAAATTTCAGATCTTTAGCTAATCTAGAAGTGGGTAAAATTGATTTAGACCGATGCACCTGTAAGAATAAGATTGGGGGGGGGGGAGTTGTATTTGTAAAATGTCACTTTTTGAAAAGGGCGCAAGATCTACAATCATGCCAAATTTCAGATATCCAGTTAATCTAGAAATTGGTAAACGTGATTTAGACTTATGTACCTGTAAGAATAACATTGGGGGGGGGGATTTAATATTTGAGGGGGGGGGGGTTGTAAATACGATACGGGGATAAAACCTTAAGTAAAACAGAGTAAATACAAAATATTAAAATAGCTGTTTGAGAAAAACGTGTTTTGTTGTTTTTAGGTCCGCCATTTTGGATTGTTGTGGTGGGGGGCGAAAATTTGAAATCGGTCTTTTGCATAATTCACCGTTAATTAAAGATCCCATACTAGAATACTACCAAATTTCAAGTCTCTAGCACGTCTCTAAACGAATCAAATGAGCATACAAAAAAACCGTGTTTTGTCGTTTCAGAGGTCAACCATTTTGGATTTTTGGTAGGGTTAAAAATTGAAAATGGGACTTTTGCAAATTTCCCCGTTAATTTAAGATACCATACTACGTTACTACCAAATTACAGGTCTCTAGCACGTTTCTAAACGCTTCAGATGACCATAACAAAGTCATTAAATTTCAATGTTATCCTCCATAAGAATAACAAGGGGCTCGTAAAAACTTTAAATTTCGACATTAAAATTACGTTTTTTGGGTCAAGGAGTAAAATTACGAAATACATGTAATGAGTAAAATGTAAAGTTCACTAAGAAGAAAACAAAGAATTAATAATATTTGCAAAAATTAATTATTTAGGTATGAAAAATAGCAAAAACGTTGAAAATATGAATAAAATTTACCAAATTTCGAAAAGTAAGCGTTTTTTGAAGGTTGAATGAGTGCGATTTTTGAAAAACGCTTACTACTGTCTTGTAGAAAATTTAATTCCGAACCGACGATTTTCCTTCAGATCTTTTCTACCTCTCACCGTTTTCGACCTAAAGCCGTATAAAATAAATGTGTTTTGTCGTTTTCAGAGGTCCGCCATTTTGGATTTTTGGAGGGGATAAAATTTGAAAATTGTACTTTTGCAAATTTCACTATTAACTTAGGATCCATTATTAGAATAGTACCAAATTTCAAGTCTCTAGCACGTTTCTAAACGATTCTTTTGACCATACCAAAGTCATTAAATTTCAATCTTATTCTCCATAAGAATAACATGGGGCTCGTAAAAGTGGCAAAAAACCTTCAAATTTTGAGATTAAAATTAAGTTTTGGGGGTCAAGAAGTAAAGATACAAAAAAAATTAAATGAGTAACATATAAAGTAAATTAAGGAGAACACAGAGCATTTATAATATCTGCAAAAAGAAATTATTTAAATATGAAAAAATAGCGAAAACCGGTAAAAATTTGAAAGAAATTTACCAAATTTTGAAAGTAGGGCGTTTTTTGAAGCTGAAGGAATGCGATTTTCGGAAAACGCCTAAGAGGGTTTTGTAGAAAATTTAATTTCCTTTCGCTAAGATTCTTTCAAATCTTTTCTAGCTCTTACCGTTTATTATAATTTATAATTTATCTTATTTATAATTTATTACTATACCAGTGATCCGGAGGCTAACAACATGAAATTCAACTTACTAGATATTTAAACTTCTCATAATTACTACAACAAACTTGATAATTTCCACAATATAGCAAATTTAATAAGTAATATACAGAATTGTGGGCTGAAATGAAAAATGAAATGAAAAATCATTTATTTATACAGGCAAAGTTAGGGCCACATGGCCCTTTCTTACACTTAACCTGTACCTGTACTTAACCTGGGCTGGAGAAACATGTGATATTAAAACCGTTACGGACCAACTAGGACATGAAATATGTGAAACAGGCATATGTGTGTGAAATGTGAAACACTTGGCAGATTGGCGTATGCTAAATTAAATCTATATCACAGATAATACACAACATTTACTTACGTACACAGGCTGACCACATAGACTTACACACTCACCAAAGATTCACTCACGGATGACATTTAAAACCTGTCTTGGAGCGGTGTCAATCGAGCGAAATGTTCTCGGCAACGGTTCGTCTTTCGAGCTGGTGTGATTTTAAATCAATTGAAAATCCGTCATGATAATTTACTATTCAATTAGAGATAGACATTTGCGACCAGTTCGACGCATGTACAATTTCCCCTCAAGAACGCAACATCAAACCGGCAATTTCAAATCAATTCGACTTATAGGCCTAACTAGGACACTTCAAACAGTCAGCAATCCGGTGATTTATTGACATTTACTGTCCTTTCGACGCACATAAAAATTTCTCCAGAACGCAATTTTCCAAGCTACGAATAAAATATTGATAACATGGTCCAAATACTGGTGACACGACCTACATGATGTCTCTACTCGAAGTGAAGGATGAACGGCTTGTCGCTTTCAAACTTTTGGTCTTTGTTTATTGTATCACTCCGCGTTTCGTTGCAGATTGGATCATTTGTCTGCCGTGTTTGGCGCGGATTTGGAATGTTTGAATTCAAAATCGGCACACCTTTTACATTGTCTAAATAAATATATTTAAATAACTTCTTGATCAGCATTGTACGTGTTATTAAATTCACGGAATGTAAATAAAAGAAATGTCTTTATAAGACTTTAAACATATATTTATGACTAATTATGGCAAAAACGTACCTTGTCAGACAATCCTTGACATGTTTTGAATTGTCGAAATTTAACTTGCTACATGTTTCGGTGGTTCTTCAATTCCACCATCTTTAGGCACACAAAAATATCCACTTCTTGAGGTGTCGTCAGAATTGTTACATACATTTAACACAAACGCAATACACGAAACGATTAAGTACGATAACAGATAGGCCTATCAACTTATGCGCGTACATTGTCGCGGGCGGGACTAGAAGTAGACACTTCTAGGGCTCGACATTCTTTGTGAACAGAATGACACAGTTTTAAGCTCTGTATAGCAGACATGTACGTTTCACTGTGTGTTTAACAAAATTTGTAATCCATCGAATCTCATGCCGCATGCAAGATAAGGTCAGTAATACGTTATTACCACGAGAAACATGACTGAAGTTTGTGATCCTGATGCAATGATACCGAGTTAAAGTGCAGAAATAGTCTAGGACTAGAGAGTTTACAAATTGCCGTGAAACTGTTCATGTAGGAAGGAATTGGGTTTTTGGTGGGTTCCTTTAAGTAGTCTTCTGTAAGAAGTCTGGGTACTTCTTACAGAAGAGTACTTAGGGGAAAAAGGATTTGACTGCCATAACCCATTTACACTCCATAACCCATTTCACACCTTATTCTTACTTATTGCAGTAGGGTCATAGCCTTCAGTCATCTGGCGATGAATAATGGCATCAAATCAATTTCCTGTAATCAAAAACGTAATACAGTAGAGTCCCGCAAACTCGGCGTAATGTGGACTGGAGTGGTGCCGAGTTTGTGAAATGCCGAGTTATCGGGAACTAGAGTTAAAAATAAGAACAATACGCTTTTAAATCATTTTAGCTGCCTTATTTATTTATATTTATAAATAATATAAATAAATACAAGTCAGTATTAAGTCATCAGATATCGTACAATAAATCCTTGGTACGAGTTGCGAATGATTTGACTTGAGCCCATGTTTAACTCTGACTCAAAAAATCACTAATTTTCTGAGCCAGGTGATGGCCGAGTTATCCAGACTGCCAGGTTATCGAGTGCCGAGTTTGCGGGACTCTACTGTATAGACCTTATCACGCACATTGCGAGAGATTCGATGGTTTGAAAAAAAAAAATAATAAAAACAGTGAAGCGCACATGGTAACTACAGAGCTAGAAATTGTGTCAATCTGTTCACAAATGATGCCAGTTAGTGGCGAGGAATCTTGACAATGATGTTACCTTTATAACTCAACTTAACATGCAAAACCTTTATAAATCAAGCTCGAAACCTATTTATATGAGTAACTGTGATAGTAAAATAAAATAATTTATCATTCATACAAATGGCTTACTGTATCGCAAAATCAATCCTGATATAAGATTTTTTTTCCATCATTAAACATTGTGTTCATACTGTTTAAACTCCCTGTTCTTATATCTTTTCTTATTGATTAATTAACCTTCAGCCTCACTTTCCTGGTTCTTCAAAATCTTCAATAAAGTGTTTCGCGGAACTCCAAATTCCCTGGCGATTTCACCTTTTTAGCGAATTTCCCTATAGGGAAGTAGCTATTACCGTAGGTGGCACGGTAAGACCTAGACCCGGGACCGATTTACTTTTTCATTTTGATGTCCCCAGAGGCCAAAAACACCATTCGTTCAAATTTTTATATATGTATATATATATATATATATATATATATATATATATAGACTTATATATATATATATATATACGTCCGTGAACGCGATAACTTGAGTAATTTTTGTCCGATTTTGATGAAATTTGGTTTAAAGGTGTAAAGCGGGATAAACTTGAATGAGTTCGCGAACCAGCATGATCGGACCATGGGAACGGGGCTTTACGGGGGGTTTTATGGGGTAAAAATTGGTTTTTCTCACTTTTGACCCTCAAAACACAAAATTTCCCGATTTCTCTTTTGATCTTTTTAAAGAGCTTAAAAAAACAAATAATTTAGTATATAAAAGTATTTTTGTTCGATTATTAGTAACGGAGAAAATTAAAAAAATTGTAAATTTAAAATTCCCATGTTATTCTTATGGAGAATATTGTCAAATGTTGTAGTTTGCTTGTTTATGGATATATTTTGATCAAACTTGGCAAATTTATTTATTTTGTACTAAGCTATCAATATTTTACTCAAAAACACACTTTATTAGTTTCCTTGTAGCAGCAAACCTAGGTACTCGTTAAACCTAATGTTATATTAAAATATATTTAACTGAAAATCAATTCAGACAAATGGAAATTCGCTTAGTCGGCAGGTTTGCTGCGGCGGGGGTATTTCTTTGACCAATCGTCAACTGCCTTAATCGATCCTCTTTTTTCAACGTGTGTCAATGTTTTACACATACGCTTAACTGACAACATGACATTCGATGTGCACAAAATAATCTCAATAAGGGTCTCAATAAGTCTAATGTTACTTAAATAAGGAGTTAATCTGATATGTTTAAGGGAATATTTCAGTGACAATCCAGTCAGGCAAATGGGAATTCGCTCAGTCTTCAGTTTTGCTTTGATGTGGCCAATGTGGGGATTTTATATTTAATTTTTCTTGGTTTCAACACACTGAGATGGTGTTATCACTGGGGTGTAAAGGCAAGTGCTTGGTGTGCATACTACCATGGTAGGCCTATAGGAGGGAAGTAAAAATATTGGTTTTGTTAATAGGTACAAATTTAAATGTTTTCGAAATAACCCTTAAAGATAGGACAAAAGGTGTGAGGACTAAAAAATATATTTTTTTGTCTTCTTAAACTTCTGTTCCAACAATATTTGTATGAGCAATGGTTAGTGAAAAAAATATGGTAAAAAAAGTGAAAATCACAGGTTGCACGAATATTGACTTTAAACATGTTACTGGGTGTTAGTACTACCGATACAAATATAAAAAGTTCCCCCATTTAGGGATTTATTTTCAGGTAGAATTGTATTTTTATCTACGACTGGACTATTACTAATCAGAGAATTTTGTGAAATTAATGCCATGCTAATGGCCTTTTGTGAATAACATTTTTACCCACTCTTTCAAGCAAATACTTTTCATTCATATTTTCTATAAATATTTTTTTTATATTTGACTTTCAGGAAGAAAAAGAAGGACAAAAGCCAGAAGAAACTGCTTGAACAAGTCATGGCAGAAGCGACTAAGGAAGAAAAGTCAGAAGTGAAGCTAACCAAGGCTGAAATTTCATTTCAAAAGATGCAAGAGAAAACGGTAAGTATTAAAAGTGAGACTAAGTTAAGTGTGTATCTCAATAGTAAAGGGTGTTTGGGAAACAGACATTTTGATATCCATGCACACTATTTTAGTCAATGTTTTAGAGGATCAGTAGAATTAGGTACCTCAATTAATCTTGGAAAAAGGGCATCTGACTTCAGCTTGCGTCCTCCACAATAAGTCCTGGAAACTACCATAATTACAGTTCAACCAAAACGGGTTCAACCAAGATGGGTCTCTACTAGCCGAACTAAAACATTTGGTAGTTTTGGTCGTAGTTGTGACATTTCAAATAAACTTTCAACCAAATAAATAAGAGAATTAATTTATTTTAACAGAAGAGTTATAAGTGTACATTCCTCTAAAAACCCAATGACAAGAAACCCAATGACAACATCAGCTGTCGCTACAAACATACGGGTACCGGTTATTGACAGTCCAGGGGGGTAGAGGTGAGTGAGTAGCAAGACACAAATGTTTTTACAAAAGTATCCCTTTTAAAATACATGACTAGACTCACATTACACAAAACTCTCCCCTCATACCTTCAAATTATGAAAGCTATGGTGTTTACTATAGATAATACTACTTACGTATGCCAGTAGGTGTCAATTGTGTTTAATTATGCTGTACATGTTTCAAGCCTAATACGGCTCATCTTCAGCAGTATTAACTATAATTGACACCTACTGGCATACGTAAGTAGATTATTATCTATAATAAACATTTTAAAGGTGTCAAGGCTGATTAATTTGATATGAAAGCTATGGTATTACTATTAATCTTGGCCATGATCCTTTTTCATAGGTTGAAACCATCTTGCAACTCACACGCTTCCTCTATCACCCATTCCCTGCTATCGCTATCCTCTTACATAACTTTTAAAATAACACACAATAAAAAGCAGGGCCGATTTACCGAATAGGCATGGTAGGCACGTGCCTAGGGAGCGAGGCAATTGGTTTTTGTTGGGGGCGCCAAAAATTGGGAAAATTATGGTGGCTGTAGAGTTGAACCTCTTTAATCCGAACTAATTGGGACCGGGGGTAGTTCGGATTATTGAATAGTTTGGTTTACAGAACATATTGTTGTTTTTAACAAGCTTTTTAATAACAAAGCTAGGGAAAAGTAAAAAGTGCTTTATAAAGTAAAATACAGTGTTTATTTAATACAGTAGTTGTGGTCAACACAGTCAAATTCCCTGGACAGGTCACAGAACACCCCAGCAGTACTCTGCCCCTCATCCAGCGCCTCAGAGACCATGTTGACAAATTTTGTTAATGCCTTTGTGGTTGATTTATTTTTCCTGGATCCAAATTGTGATTGTGAATATAGATTGTTCAGTTCTAAGTAATTAATTAATTACAATTAATTAAATTAATTGCAATTAAGCGGAAATTAATTGCTTTCTTAAAGATTTCTGCAAAGTTGCTTAAAATAGAAATTGGTCTGTAATTATTAATATCTGTTCTTTTTCCTTTCTTAAAAATTGGGTTTACTTCTGATATTTTAAGTTTATCTGGAAATTTACCTGACAAAAAACATTGGTTAACTATTATGCTAATAACCGGGGCGATTAAGTGTTGGGACAGTTTAATTAACCTCGTTGGAGCCTCATCCTAACCAACAGAGCCAGAATTGCTTAGGCTCTTTATAATTTTGGCTATTTCTGAGCCCTGTGTTGGGCAAAGGTCCATCAAAACTGGAAATGACAAAGCTGATGGGGATTTGATGTCTGTGAAAGACGGGGCCGGGACATTTAAAATATCAATTGTGTTTGTGAAGTGATTGTTGAAGCAAGATGCCATGATCCCTGGATCATCTATCAAACTACCCTCAACTTCTAATTGCACATCTTCAAATTTGTCATTTTTTTAAATTCCTATTTCTTTCTTGACTACAGACCAGGTGGTTCCCATTCTATTCCTTGCATTGACAATGAAATTATTGTTTTCTATTCTTTTACTCTTATTTACTAAAGCTTTACATTTTTTCCTACATATTTTGTATTTTAACTTTGAATTTTCATCATTAAATTCCTTAAATTGAACATGTAATTGCCTCTTCTTATGAGCTAACCTCTTTATTTCATCTTTGACCTATAAAGCCTTGGATTCTTTCCTTTCTATGAATAGTTTTAACGGAAAACACTCATGCATGGATGTCAGAAATAAATTTAGAAAACTATCATAACTACTATTGCACAATTCTAAAAGAGTCTAAATACTATAATCCCGCATATGTAACTCACTGGGGGATACAAATTCTAGACCACTTCTAGATGAGCTAGAGACTTGAAATTTTCGGTGTTTTGTAGGTCTAGTGCCCAAACCCCCGGGAAAATTCCAAAAAGTTACATTTTTAAATTTTAACCCCCCCGAAATTAAGGGTTCCCCCCCATGTTATTCTTATGGGGAATATTATTAAAAATGGCCGACTTTGGTGTGCCCATCTGAACGGTTTGGAAACGTGCTAGAGACTTCAAATTTGCGTAGTATTGTACTATGAAATCTTAAATTAACGGTGAATTTCGCAAAAGTCCCATTTTCAAATTTTAACCCCCCAAAAATCCAAAATGGCGGACCTCTGAAAACGAGAAAACACGTTTTTTTCAACCGGATGTAGCTCGAAAACGGTAAGAGCTAGAAAAGATTTGAAAGTATATCCAGGAACAGGAATTAAATTTTATACAAAACCCTCTTAGGCGTTTTCCAAAAATAGGACTCCTTCAGCTTCAAAAAACGGCCTCCTTTCAAAATTTTGTAAATTTCATTCACATTTTTTACGGTTTTCGCTATTTTTTCATATTTAAATAATTTCTTTTTGCAGATATTATTAATGCTCTGTATTCTTCTTACTTTACTTTATATTTTACTCATTTAATGTTTTTTTGTATCTTTACTCCATAACCCCCAAAACTTAGGTTTAATGTTAAAATTTAAAGGTTTTTTACAACTTTTACAAGCCCTATGTTATTCTTATGGAGAATAACATTGAAAAATGCCGACTTTAGTATGCTCATCTGAACCACTTAGAAACGTGCTAGAGACTTGAAACTTGGTAGTATTGCAGTATGTGATCTTACATTACCGGTGAAATTTCCAAAAGTCCCATTTTCAAATTTTAACCCCCCCAAAAATCCAAAATGGCGGACCTCTGAAAACGAAAAAACACTTTTTTTTCAACCGGATGTAGCTCGAAAACGGTAAGAGCTAGAAAAGATTTGAAAGGATCTTAGCGAAAGGAAATTGAATTTTTCTACAAAACCCTCTTCGGCGTTTTCCGGAAATCGCACTCCTTAACCTTCAAAAAATGCCCTACTTTCAAAATTTAGTAAATTTCTTTGAAATTTTTTACGGTTTTCGCTATTTTTTCATACTTAAACAATTCTTTTTTGCAGATATTATTAGTGCTCTGTGTTCCCCTTAATTTACTTTTAAATTTTACTCATTTAATGTTTTTTTGTATCCTTACTCCTTAACCCCCAAAACTTAGGTTTAATGTCAAGATTTAAAGGGTTTTACCACTTTTACAAGCCCCATGTTATTCTTATGAAGAATAACATTGAAAATGGTAAACTTTGGTGTGCTCATCTGAACCGTTTAGAAATGTGCTAGAGACTTGAAACTTGGTATTATTGTAGTAGGGGATCTTATATTAATGATTAAATTTGCAAAAGTCCCATTTTCAAATTTTAACCACGCCAAAAATCCAAAATGGCGGACCTCTGAAAACGATAAAACAAGTTTTTTTCAAACGGATATAGCTCGACAACAGTAAGAGCTAGAAAAGATTTGAAAAGATCTTAGCGAAAGGAAATTAAATTTTCTACTGAACCCATACAGGGTTTTCCAAAAATCACACTCCTTAAGCTTCAAAAAACGCCCTAATTTTAAAATTTTGAAAATTTATTTCAAATTTTTACCGTTTTTCGCTATTTTTTCATACTTAAACAATTCCTTTTTGCAAATATTATTATTGCTTTGTGTTCTCCTTACTTTACTTTAAATTTTACACATTACATGTTATTTCGTAACTTTACTCCTTGACCCAAAATACTTAAGTTTTTACCACTTTTACGAGCCCCATATTATTCTTATGCAGAATAAGATTGAAATTTAATGACTTTGTTATGGTCATCAGAATCGTTTAGAATCGTGCTAGAGACTTGAAACTTGGTATTATTGTAGTAGGGGATCTTATATTAATGATTAAATTTGCAAAAGTCACATTTTAAAATTTTTAACTCCCCAAAAATCCGAAATGGCGGATATCTAAAGACGATATAACACGTTTTTTACAGCAAAAACTAAAAAGCAATAGGAGCTATCCAAGATTTGAATGGATTTTCATGTTCAGGAATTTAATTTTCTACAAAACCCTTACACGTGTTTTCCGAAAATTTCTCCCCTTCACCCCTAAAAAACGTCCTACTTTCAGAAATTGGTATTTTTCAAATTTTTACCGGTTTTCGCTATTTTTACATACTTAAATAATCACTTTTTGCAAATGTTATTAATGCTTTGTATTTTCCTTGGCTTAATTTCGGTTTTAATCATAGATGTTTTTTCGTAACTTTACTCCTTGACCCCCAAAACTTAAGTTTAATATCAAAATTTAAAAGGTTTCACCAGTTTCACGAGGTAATAATAGACTCTTTACCTTTTCTGTATGCACAAGGTTATTAAAACTATACAAAGTTTACTGTATTAGAGCTAACACCAAGGTATGAATATAATAAGGACCATTTTAAAAGCCCCCCCCCCTCTCGAAATCCCCCTTATATCTATCCTATAGCCACCACAGATTCATCGGTCTAAATCACGTTTACCAATTTCTAGATTAGCTAAAAATCCTGAAATTTGCACCCTGTCCCCCTGTGGCACATTTGTACTTACAAAATTTTACCCCCAATTTTCGCTACTTTTCCCAATCTAAGTAAATTCTTTTTGCAAACATTATTAATATTTTGTATATACTCTGGTTTACTTAAAGATCAACTTATTCACTTTTCAATCTACTCTAATATATATTGTGAAATAATTATTACTTCAATATCGATTTTCGCTATTGCAATGCCAATTATATTATCACTTCGTTTGACCAAATACTCAGTTGTAAGCATACTTTACCAACATATTCTCCTACCGCAACATTATAATTGATTTTCTTATAAGGGGTTCTTTAAGTTTGAGATTGATATTGCCAGCCTCCTCAAATATATTCGTAAATTGTTTTGTTATAAAGCAATATTGACTGTTTCACTGACTGCTTTGTTACCCTCTTTGTTACAACTATACTACTATATACTAATGACGACTAACAGCTAGGGGGCCTGGGGGCGGAGCCCCCAGCGAGCCAAAGGCGAGTAAAACTATATAGCTTTTGATATAGTGCGATAAAAAATTTCTCTGAGTTGTCTGCTTAAAAAAATCTTCGATAAATACTGGGAGCTTTTACTTTATTAAGGAATTTAGGAAGAGTTGATGCAAAGCAACTATGTCAAGATGTTAATTATTTCCTAAGCTTGTGAGATTTTATTTATTTGAAAGATATTTTATTAAATAATTTTGGATGTTAATTTAACTGGAATGTAAGGTTCCAGTTAAATTTTCGTCAAAAAATTCTTGCCATAACTTTTTGAAAATTTGTGTCCTATCAAAGTCGGATTTGCTGCATTAATTTCCTTTTTTAAAGCTCTTTAAAATAATATGCTACTTGATAGGGGTTGCGATTTAAAAATTTTAAACCCTCAGCAACCCCAGTTTGGGGGTGGGGGGTGAATTTCAAAATATCACCAAAAAGTACTTTACATTACCATAGAAACCGTGTATTGAAGCTCATTTGAATATATAATTGTTTGTGCTGAGCTCATTCATTTTATAGCCGGTTAACCAGTTGTTCTTTATTTTTGCCATTAGCTAGGATTTTTTTCCAATCCCGTGGGATCTTGGTTTTAGGACCTCTCATTAAAAACGTATCTCTATACCTATTCCATTCTCTCTCTTTCAATATTTTTAATAGATACATGAAAATAGGTATCCGTAGTAAAGTCTATCTTGGAAAGCGCCTCAAAACAATCTCTGCTAGTTCACCAAAGGTTTCTGTAATATTAGTAAGAGTCTAAAAGTAAGCCATACCCCCAATTACATACATACATTCTTCAATCTTGGGAGGTTCGTCTACTATACCTTTCTTCTCCAAAGCATGCAGCAGTTTGGCCTTTTCAGTTTTTGTTGAACATCCATCGTCAGTGGCTAATGCCCATGGTAGGTCTACTGGACCTAATGGATATGCCATAAGCTTCTCAAGGCTAATATCACGTTCCTGGGACAACAGTAAAACTCCAGCAAAAATATTTCTTTCAGCTCTTATCTCAACTAATCTGTTTTGTGCAGTTGTTTGTAACATCAATCTTCTCTTGAATACTTTTGAATGTTTGAAGCTTTTGTCTCTTAAGTCTCTTACTCATGGAATTTTTGTTCTTTACAATAAATCTGTCTTGCACAAAAGTTTTGTAGGCAGCTTTCCCTAGATTATCTACATTGAGTAAATTGTCTTCCACCCATTCGGGTAAAGGTCTTCCAGATGATAAACAGAACATCTAAGAATTCTGATCACGGTTTTCAACTTTAAGCAGATTAATGTATTGTTCAAAAGTGTCAAGTACTTGTAAAATACTTTGCTCACTTCCTTTCATTTCATGTGCTTGCGTGTCACCGTGAGAACAATCTGATGACTTCACCATACTTGCATTTTAAAATGCTAATTCTAACTATCATGATATTTTCGTGTTTTTCCGGAACATGATGAAATTCACAAGTGGCAAATACCTAAAACTAAAACCTTAAAGTTCATGCCAATACGAGCACCAAAATGTATATTTCAAAAATTCCCATCTTGGGGGTAGGGGAGGGGGGGGGGGTAAAGACCAGCCTCCGCTCTATAACATTATGTTTTGTTTTTAGCTTACACAATAGAATCACCCATTTTAATTGAATGTACTAGAAATATTAAATATGAAAATGACCCACTAGATTTGCTAAGACCTATATATAGTATTAGAAATTTAATACTTTTTTAACTTTGGAAAAAGTATAGCTGTTACTTATTCTCTATTACTGCATTTTAAAGCCTTGTAAGATGGCAAAATTTACATTTTATAGTAAAATTAGTTTGAACAACTTTGAAATGAAAGTAGGTGGTTTTGAGAAAATCTTCTAGCCTATTACTTCCATTTTCTAATGTATAATTTTGTGTTGTTCAGTCACACTCTAAGGCAGTTATTTCAATTTTCATGTCATGCATCTTATGCAGATATCGATTTTTGTTTTAATCCTCGTCATGTTTTTTCCAGCAAAAAGAGCGAATCATGCAGAAAGCATCAATGACCCATAAACAGAGAGTGGAGGAGTTCAACAGACATCTTGACAGTCTCACAGAACATTTTGACATTCCTAAAGTCAGTTGGACTAAATAAACGGGTTCAAATTTAAAGTTGGTATTTTCAGATCTTGTAAACTGTTTGATTTGGAACTCAAATAATGATTAGAATCTAATGAGGGGAATTCCTTTGTTTTCATTATATTCAGATTACTAAATTATGTACATAATTTCTAACAGAATGCTAGATTAAAATGTTTGGTTGTTACATTCAGGTAACAAAGTTTAAAGTTTTTGTACATAGTTCTTAGAGGATAATCTTTTTTTTTTTCTGGATGAAATTGAATAGTTATTTATGTTATGATGTAGATTAGATGTTGTGTCCTTTGCGTGTCTGTGTTGCACCTGTGGTGCAAAAATGTAGATTATTTTTAACCAGTAAAGAGTTTAACTTCCAATTTGAGGTTGATTATTATTTCCTCGCCTCTATAGATAAAAACTTTAGTGTTTGATGTTCTTTTCATGGAGTATCAATAGTCTAAATATAAACAACCCTATGGATTTTCTCTAATTACTTTTTTGTTGGGTACCTCACTTGTTTTTTGTTTTTGTTTTTTTGCTACATACATACAGGGGCGGACTGGCACCTCAATTAGGGCGCCAAGTCTGGCCTTCAGAGGGCGCCCAGGGGGAGCCTGGGTGTGCCACCCCCCAGTAAAAGAGGGATCCGGCAGCTCTCCCCCGTAAAATTTTTTAAAAATTTACTACCCTCAAATAGTTTTTTAGGCTATTTCTAAACTCGCAAAGCTAACTGTTGTAATAGAACGTTTTGCTTGAAGTTAGACCAACTTAAATGTCCTTATTTGTCTGTCCTTAGTAGTACAGTATTATGTTTCTTAAGATTCTTTATTGCTATTTGCTGAGTTTAATTACAAAAACAAGTGGAAGAGCTGTAACATACATTATATTACATATACAATAACATCATTTTATTACATTCTTTGTAAATTACAGTTTGGTTGACATTACGTTTTAGTAAGTGAAACAGTACGTAAGTGACTTTAGACCTGTACAATTTTTTTCAACTCTGCACTTTGTTGACAAAGCTCAAAAAATCAAATCAAACAGTTAGTGCCTCCGTTGGGATTCGAACTGGCCACCTTTAGAACATCAGTCTGGTGCGCTATCCACCACACCACCGAGATCGATAGCTCTGAAACGTATCTTTGCGGTAATGGTGTTCGCTCAAGCGGTGGTGGGCGGTGGTTTTCTGTCGGGAAGGTTTCGTCACCAGTATCGTCTTTCGGGGATGAAACGTGGGCCGCAGGGCGCGCACGCGCCAATTCAGCGTTCAGCGCACTCGTACCAGCGGTGACAGAAATATGAACTACAATCAACATTACCATTCATTATCTAGTTCATTATTCACTTAGCTCCATACAGTGAAATAAATACGAACATGAAATTAGTACTAATCAACATCCACCGAACATTATTAAGTTTGCCTGACTCGGCAACGAAGCTTGCTTGCATTGCCCTACAAAGCATGAATTATTATATTCATCATTGGAACCGATGCGTTATCGGCAAGAGGTTTATGGCACCTAGTCTACACATCACTATTGCACCATTACAGCGAAATAATAAATGACATTGAAGTGTGCCTACTGGAAGGATTCCAAAGAGGAAAAATAGTTGCTGACACCAAGAAAGTGTTAAAACTCATTTTGATTGATTGCGGACGTAACAAGGAAATATTGCACTTGGCGCCCCAAGGGCTAAGGGCGCCTCGCCAAGTTTCTTTTTTTTTTCTTGAGGGCACCAGGTACCATTTTTCTTGAGGGCCATCTGTCGTGTGGCAGGTAAACCGGCGGCCCAGTCCGCCCCTGCATACATAGTAAAGTGGTGTCGCATAATCCTGACATCTCATCAAACTATCTAGCTGCCTTGAACAAATAAGGCAAAAAAATATTGATTTCTCAAGAAACATTGAAGTTAAAACTCTACTTAAAACAAGTATGTCCCTATGTTTATTTTTAATTTTAAAAGACCAATGGAATGGAATAGATTGCAGGGTACAAGCTTTGCTTTAATTTTGAAGAATTCCATCAAACATATGCCTATACAATTTTGGTATCTATTGAGATCATAGGGGTCAATGTTTACAGTTCTTGGAATTGCAACAAGAAATTCCCTCTTTGCCTCCAAAATATTCCCTTCAACCCTTGCTGAGTGTGCGCTTATGTGTTTTATTGGTCAGTGATGTACAAATGAGGTGTATTTTATTGCTATAAAAGGTTTTCTTCAATTTCTACAGATCTTTATAAGCATTAACCAACACAATAAGTACCTACAAGTAAACCCATTTCTTGGAATTGAGACCAATCAAAGATTAAGCCTGATACGAACGACTGTTTGTAGACAGTCGTTTGTTTGTCTGTCGACAGTCTGTCAACACAGTTTCGGATGGAAGTTTCCGATTTGTTTTATACTGTGCCTGCTTCATTCTTCTTAACCATGTGGCTGATGTACCGAGGAAGACATGATGGTGGACCTGCAAAATTCTCAAGCAAATTTTGTAATATAGTCGAAACCTGCTTTCAGACTTTAGATTAGAAGATGGCACAAGATTTAGAAACGATACAAGAATTACTCCTAAATATTTTGTAGGTTCTTTTAGGCCTTTGTTGGGCTAAATATGCAAAGAAATTAACACCTTACAGGGCTACACTACTCCTGTGGGTTTGCGTTGTATCCTGTATTCTGTTTTCAGACCTGTACACACATGCAGACTTGAGACAGGAGACTTGTATCATGTCTCATTTGGGAAACAGAATATCCTGTATTCTGTTTTCAGACCTGTACACACATGCAGACTTGAGACAGGAGACTTGTATTATGTCTCATTTGGGAAACAGAATACCCCCGCCGCAGCAAACCTGCCGACTAAGCGAATTTCCATTTGTCTGAATTGATTTTCAGTTAAATATATTTAAATAAGATTAGGTTTAACGAGTACCTAGGTTTGCTGCTACAAGGAAACTAATAAAGTGTGTTTTTGAGTAAAATATTGATAGCTTAGTACAAAATAAATAAATTTGCCAAGTTTGATCAAAATATATTCATAAACAAGCAAACTACAACATTTGACAATATTCTCCATAAGAATAACATGGGAATTTTAAATTTACAATTTTTTTAATTTTCTCCGTTACTAATAATCAAACAAAAATACTTTTATATACTAAATTATTTGTTTTTTTAAGCTCTTTAAAAAGGTTTAAAGAGAAATCGGGAAATTTTGTGTTTTGAGGGTCAAAAGTGAGAAAAACCCATTTTTACCCCATAAAACCCCCCGTAAAGCCCCGTTCCCATGGTCCGATCGTGCTGGTTCGCGAACTCATTCAAGTTTATCCCGCTTTACACCTTTAAACCAAATTTCATCAAAATCGGACAAAAATTACTCAAGTTATCGCGTTCACGGACATATATATATATATATATAAGTCTATATATATATATATATAAGTCTATATATATATATATATATATATATATATGTACATATATAAAAATTTGAACGAATGGTGTTTTTGGCCTCTGGGGACATAAAAATGAAAAAGTAAATCGGTCCCGGGTCTAGGTCTTACCGTGCCACCTACGGTAATAGCTACTTCCCTATAGGGAAATTCGCTAAAACACTGTTTTTTTTGTCTCCAGTAACACAGAGACTTAACTGTCCAGACAGTTGACCGGATATCTGGAATCATCGCTACTAAAATTCTGGGACCTCTCTTTTTTACCATAATCAAATACTTTTGGTGATCAGCTAATGAAAGTTAAAATAATAAATCAATTTAATTTTATATGCAGTTAGTGAGGTAATGAAAATATGAAAGAAGAATGGTGAATAGAAGAGCTCTAAACTTATACGTTATATTTCCAGTATGGTACTTAAATAACCAGGAATCACTGTTTAAATGTCTATGATGTGTAAGACCGTTGCTGAATCGTACAGTGACACACCATAGAAGTAAAGAGTTGTAATTTCATTTCTATTGATAGAGCCAAATCAGAACAAAGGACCCTATTTAATTGTTTTGCTCTTCACTCTATTTCGACAGAAAATTATCCATTTAACCTCTAAAATTACAAAACCTGTCAAAGATAACTGCCCAATGACTTAATCAAAGATTGAAGAAGAGTGTTTGAGAAGATAAGATTATGCAATGTCAATATGTTTGGCATTTATCAGTATGGGTTCACATCTGCCGGTTCACTGGCTTCCTCTAGCTATTGCAGTATGGATGCCGCTGTCTTTTGGCATCACGTAAGTTCATTTCATCCCTTTGCTGTACATAAGTGTGTATTTAATTTGTTATAACAATAAATAACTCCTGAGTACATATTGTTTTGGCATAATTGTATTTTGAAACTTGTAATTTGGTTAATTATTTACTTGTAAAAGATGATTAGTATAGGTTCATCTACGAGTGGGATTTATTAAAGCGAGTTTTTTTTTTTTGTACTAATTAGACAATGGATCTATAAATAAACAGAATACTATACAGACTTTACCAGACCAAAAAGATGTAAAATAATACCCCCGTCGCAAACCTGCAGACAAAGTGAATTTCAATTTGTCTGATTGGATTTTACTAAAATATTTCCATAAACAAGACTTATTTATTCTCCATTTAAATAACATTAGATTTAATGAGAACCTAGGTTTGCTGCTACCGGGAAGGTATATACCATGCAGCTAAATTATCATCAAAATCAGACAAAAAATTACACGAGTTATCTTGTTCACGAACGTATAAATCTATATATATACATTCATACAAATTTGAACAAATAGTTTTGGCCTGTGGTGAGATCAAAATGAAAAAAAAGTAAATTTGCCCCGGGTCTAGGTCTTACTGTGCCACCTGCAGTAATAGCCATAGGGAAATTTGCTAAAAGAAAATTCAATTGAACACAAAGGGTTTTTATCTTAAGAGGGTTTTTTTTTTTAAAGAATATGAGTAGTGATAAATAATAGAGTCCTGTATGTTAACTTAGTACATATTTATGGTCATTTTGTTGTTTGGAGAGTTATAAAAAATGGTCTTCAACAGACATATTTAAAAAGCTTCTAGAGTTCATTATGATATATACCTTTGTTTATAAGCATAACAATTATAAACAAATCTTTCCTAATAGGTTACCTAAAAGATAATTAGAATAGATTAGTCTCATATGACTAAAATTGAGGATGGCTACCACTGATGAAGACTCTCAAGACTTTGTATTGAGAAAAACAAACCTCAATCATGTCTTTGCTGTTGTCTCTGTCTACAACGAGGATAATTATCTTAATTGGTAACAATCCCTTCACAACATGTTCTTGACATTCATAAAGTTAATTCATAACTTAACCACAATGTGTGAACATTGAATTTCTTGGTTGTGGTTTACAACTTTGAAAAATATGCCAGATTGTTACCCTATGTAATGAAGATGATCACATGTTTCCTGTTTCAATAGACAGTTAAGTCCTACAACATCACATGCTATTTCCGTATGGTATGATGTTACATCTTTGCTGAGTGGTTATAGTTCTCACCTAGTAATCAGTAAGTTATAGTCAGTAGCTGGTCTGATCCTGAGAAACGTCAGATGATGGTTTGAAATTGAACCCAGCTGTCCATGATCATTGTACTGTTGATAAACTATCTTGGCTAAATAACCAGCTGATCATAGTCAGAAACAGCATCATCTCTTCCTAATGTGTCGGTGTAAATCTAATACATCCAATCCAACACTGCTGTTTCTCTATATTCGGAAAATATGCATTACGCTTACGCCTCACTTCCTCATTATAATGCGCTACATACCAAACTACCCAATTAGTATTTTGTAAACTCCTCTTCTTACTTTGTACTTTGTACTTGTCTGCTACCCCTCATGGTCTTAAAGCTAACAGAGGTGGCTGAATGGACGATTATAGCTTTATCTTATGCAGTAGAACCTCGATAATTCGAGTTTCAGAGGGAAATACAATATATTTTTATATATATACATTAGACTCCTTCTTATCCGGACTCCTCGGGACCAAGACTAGTCCAGATAACGGGGTTTCCGGTTAAACCGACGTCCCCAAAAACTCGTTAAAACAGACTGTTTACTGTGATATTCGACTTAAATTTAGGAGAGCATTGTATTTAGACGCGTTATCACTGGTCTCAAATCTTCTTTTAAAATTGTAGAGGTTTTCTGAGGGGAACAGACGAACATTACTAACTATAGAGGCTTTCGAATTATCGAGGTTTGAATTAGTGAGGTTCTACTGTATAGTCACAGCAATGGTGTTTTGTTTTGTGTCAGTTGTTATTTATGTTATTTGTGATGATAAATTGAAAATGGAGGGAGTGGATGGTTTAAATAAATCAAAAATTTAAGTGATGTGTTGGTTTGTCAAGAGAGAATAATTATTCATTTGTTGATTTTAACATGTTTACAATAGGGTTTTTTTTAATTATTCCCTATTTGTTATCAGACCTTGCCGGACAAGAGGAAAGGTCTGATAATCTCGACTCTACTGTACTTGGCTCATAATACAGTGATGTAGTGTATGATGGGGGTCATACTCACAGCCAGATTTAGTTGCATGCAAGGTTACTGTTTTTTTTGTTAATCCCCAGGTACATTTTAGCAGTCAGCGCAGGTCATGTTTACCCATGGCTGCCCTCCATCAGTGCCACAGGTACCTCTCCGCCTGAGAGCTGTTGGTTCGGCCTGTTTGTCAACCTCTCCACATTTCTATGTAAGCTGAAATTAATCTGTCATTCCTAGATTTTAAACACAATCAGAACTCCCTGTTTCAGATGGAAAAACTATTTTTTCTAGGCCAAGAAAGGTTCTGTATCAGTTGCTAAGGATCAATATTCATTTACTAAAGAATCTGCAAAGAAATTGTACAAATTGAAATATTGAACTTGTTAAAGTAATTTTACCTATTGCCCCATTGTGAGGTATTCTTGCAACTCTAACATTTTGAACTCCAGCCCCCTTAAGTGAAAAATATTCATCTTGTCCATAATAGAAAAGCGAATGTACTAAATAATATTGTAATATCTTGCAATGCTAAATTACATATATACTGACCAATCTTGCATTAAGAGCCATCAAAATAACAATAACTGACCACTACCATGGTGGAAGGAAAAAACATAGGTGTGCTATTCCCATCATATTCTGACGTCACTCGGATTGCAAACAAAAGATCACCTGATTGTAACTGTCAAATTAGTATATGTATTTGTTTTGATTTGGTTGTTATTGTTTTTATTATTATAAAAACAATAAAAATCAAATCAGGTGATCTTTTGTTTGCAATCCGAGTGACGTCAGAATATGATGGGAATAGCACACCTATGTTTTTTCCTTCCACCATGGACCACTACAGTATGGGATTTTATGGGATGTAATAACCTAGACAAAATACATATAATTCTTTGAGTGTTATATTCAACCTTTTTAACCCTCAACAATGACATTGACTTCAAACTCAAACGCAGTTAAGTTCCAAAAATAAGGTTACATGTTTTCCTTTTTGAAATCCTTAGGTCTGCCTCAATCTATATATCAAAGCCATCTCAAATTTTGGTAATACTATGGATATTTGTTTGAGCAAGTGGACATCTACAGTGTTCTATCTTCCCTAAGAGTAATCGTAGAAAACATAATCCTAGCGCACCTTTAATGACATTTTGGCTACCATCCATTGTTTCTTCCTTTTTTTTGTTTTTTGCTGGTTATTATAGTCCTTAATTCCCTTTAGAATGTTATAACATTAACAATATTTGTTACTTAAATTGAAACCCTTTTTTAAAAAATAAAACAAAACCTCGAGAAAGGTAGTTTTATTATTTGGTCTGCACAACTTAAAAATTTGAGCTATAGTTTACATGACATTAAATGTTTCCTCTGTACTGTACCTTACTTCTCTGTGGTTATAAGTAATATCTAGATTTGTATTACCCTTACTTTGCTAGCTTTTTTAATATATATATATTTTACACTTTTTGTGTTAAAAAAAAATACTTTTTTATGTAATATTTTATTGAAAGATCTAAATTGGGTCTATGTGTACTCATACAGGGTTGACAGTTATAGCCTATAAATTTGAAATCCATATAGCTTTAAACCTATGATGATAACAAGTTTGGATGACAAATTTAACATCAGCGAGATAGGCCGGTCCCGCTCTCCTTCACATTAATGGCCAGAATCAATGTTTGGTGGGTGAGATAAGGTTTTCTACAGCAGTTGTGAAGAAATCATTTGAAACATTACTCATAGCGACTAGGTGTGTTGTTAGCTTACTCTTTTAAGGCTAAGCTTGTACTGGTAGACAAATTTTGTTTTGATTTGTTTAGTTTTGAATAAGAATTTTATGTACATTATTTGCTCTCTAAAAACATAATGTATAAAAAAAAATATATTTACAAACAAAATAAGAATTAAGAATATATTTTTCACAAAATAACTTCTCTTTTACAGTTCAAACTAACTCAATCACCACATTTATTGTGTCTAAATGCAGTAAAGAAGTACAATCGTCAGAACCAATAAATTTGAAAAACAGAACACAAAAACAAACAAATCAATCATCACATAGAACACACCTAATTTAACTATGGCAGGTTATAAAAATAAACTTGTTTTTGTGTACTACCTATGGATATGAGAGAGAAGACCTTGCTTATAAGTGCCTTTGAGATTTCAAAGTCAATAAGATAAATGGTCGAACATTTGAGTGACTGAGCAATCCAAGCCGACCCAGCACAGGTCTTTAAATGATGAAATGTTGATTTACTGTACCTACTCTTTGTCTGTCTAGAGTAGAAAGTGCCCCTGGTTATGAATATGGGTTACACTTGTTATTCCTCTTTGACTTGGCCTTGGTAGGTCAAAAGATCACCACTTTGTATTCTTCCTGAGATCCACAGTATGCGTTGTTGATAAGATCTCAGTTCCTAAACCACACTTGGAAAACAACTTGAGTAGCCATGTCTGGACGTAACCCTGCTTTAAAAGGTTACCTGGTTTTTTTGTGAACAAAAGTTAATTTGCCGGGGTTCAGCTTTGTGTAGTTGTTAAAGGGTTGGTTACTCATATTAAAATACAGTGTGTAAATTAAGTCTTGAAACAAATCTGTATTTTTTTTAACCAAAATAGATAAACGTATTCTGTTTGTGGTGTTGACTGTTAACAAAGATTCTGTAATTTTTTACATCAAAAATATTGTTTAACCCCCCTGACAGGGTAGGGGATAGGGGTTGACTTATTTTTTTTCAAATAGCAACTCCTGTTGAGTGACTGGTTGAAGGATTTGTCAAAAGAAACACAATGATGCAAACTCAGGTGGATATCTCACCCTAGCCAAAATGGCAGGTATTCCAAAATTTGATTTACTGTATGTGAAAAAGCACAAATTTCACAAATATGGAATCAATTATGTATTTTTAAAACACTAATAATTAGACATATTCTGTTTGTGGAATTGATTGTTTACATAGGCTCCGCAATTTTTTAAATCAACATTATTTTTTAACCTCTTTAACAGGATAGGGGATGGGGGTGGTTTATTTTTTTAATAACAACCCCTATTGAGTGACCCTCATTTTGAAGGGTTTGTAAAAAGAAATACAATGACACAAACCCGGGGTAGATATTTCATCCCTAGCCTAAATGGCGTTTATTCTAAAATTTGATTTATGTGAAAAAGCTCCCATTTTGGAATACCCGCCATTTTGGCTAGAGGTGAGATATTCACCTTGAATTTGTCTCATTGTGTTTCCTTTGATAATCCCTTCAAAATGAAGGGTCAATCAATAGGGGTTGTTATTTGAAAAAAAATAAGTCACCCTCTAACCCCTACCCTATTTATAGAGGGGGGTTTATACAATTTCTTTTGGTCTTAAATATAGCGGAACCTTTGTTAAGAATCAATGTTACAAACAGAATATTTCTATCTATTTTGGTATTAAAAATACAGATTTGTTTCAAGACTTAATTTATACACTGTATATGATTAAAGTAATATCTTTTTAATTTGATCTATAAGTAGTCTTTTTGTCCCCACTGACAATTTTTGTGCAACTTAAGACTACAAGCACACATTAAAATAGGGAGGAACTTGTGCATTTATTTTTTTTAAATTTTAAGGGCGAAATAATAGTACCCTCCTAACATTTTACTAACATTTTTTTGAAATATTTAAAATTATAACTAACACATGTGTCAATTCAATTGCATTGGCCATAACTAATAATTTCAAGGCTAGTGAATGATGTTTTGGCAATGATGATAAGTATTTTTATATTTAATTTTTCTGCAGAAAAAAATGTCACACTATTATTGGTTACAAAACGGGATGGTAATTGCTTATAGAGTAACGTTTTTGACCATATTTTACTATTTTGTTTGATTGTATCCTGCCATCACCTCCTTAAACGCAAGGTTCTAACTCTGACTCGGAACAACTTTTACTCATTTCTTCAGGCTAGGATTGAGGGATAGTTACATTATTTGATTATTCCGCTGCAAAATCTATTGGTGATAGGCAGGAATTGAACTTGGGACCTTAGAGACCAAAGCCCCTTCTCAATCAACTTTACTACAGCAACGTTTATAAATAGGTTCAACTATTACATAAACCATAAACCATAAACCATACATTTTGATGATTTTTTCATATTTATCAAACTTTTACTATCAAATTAGGTACTTTTTAAGTTACCAAAGCAGGGCCGATTTACCGAATAGGCACGGTAGGCACGTGCCTAGGGCGCGAGGCAATTGTCATTTTTGGGGGGCGCCAAAAAATTGGAAAATAACAAAAATTGTGGCTGTATTTGCACGCGATCGCGGTAAACTGATAATCCCTCGCGGCCGTGTAGACATCTTAACAGTCTCCCGCAATTGTGGCAAGATGTTAATTTTTCCTGTGGTTGTGTATACGTCATCATTGTCCGTCTCCCGCGATCACGGCAAAATTCTGACTATTTTCGGCGGACGTGTGGACAGCATAATTGTCGTCTTCCTTGATCGCGGCAATATATGAACACATCCCGCGGTCGTGAGGAGATTATCACCGTCTACCGCGAATGAAGCAAAATTCTAACCTTTTCCCGGGGTTGTGTGGACATTATCATCTTCTTGCGTGATCACGATAAAATTCTGATAATCCCTCACAGCCATGAAGACATCATCGCCTCCCGCGGTCGTGAGGCATTGTGATCCCCTCCCGCCATTGCGGCAAATGGTACTCATCTCCCGCGGTCGTTTGGAGGTCTTCATCGTCTTTTGCGAATGAGGCCAAATTCTGATCTTTCCTGTGGTGGAGTGGACATTAACATCGTCTTACGTGATCGCGGTAAAATTCTGATCATCCCTCGCAGCCGTGTAGAAGAGCCATCATTATTGTAACTCCCGCGATCCTGTAGACATCGTAATCGTTTCCCGCGGTCGTGAAGACATCGTAATCGTCTCCCGCTGTCATGAAGACATCGTAATCGTCTCCCGCGGTCGTGAAGACATCGTAATCGTCTCCCGCTGTCGTGAAGACATCGTAATCGTCTCCCGCGGTCGTGAAGACATCGTAATCGTCTCCCGCTGTCGTGAAGATATCGTAATCGTCTCCCGCGGTCGTGAAGACATCGTAATCGTCTCCCGCGATTACGGCAAACTGTTAATAATATCCTGCAGTCATGTGGAGATCATTATCGTCTTCCCCGATTGTGGCAAATTTCTGACTGTTTCCCGTGGTTGTGTGGACATTATCTTCGTCTTCTGTGATCGCGGCAATATTCTGATCATCCATCGCGGCTCTGTATATCTTATTATCGTTTTGCGCGATTGCGGTGAAATCATGATCATATCCCGCGGTCGTTTAGACATTATCATCGTGTCATGCGATCGCGGCAATATTCTGACCATCCCTCGCGGCCTTGTGGAGACATATTATCGTCTCCCGTGGTCACGAAAACGTCGCTGTTGTCATGCGCCATTGCGGTAAATTGACAATTCCAGGTAGAAATACAAAATTCATGCATAATTTCGGGTTAAAAAAAATTCCCGCTTAATTCCCAGATTTCCCGGTTGGTAGTCACCCTGTTATATATATTGCAAAGGGGCGCTAGTATTTTAGTTGTGCCTAGGGCGCTGACATAGTCAAAAACGGGCCTGTACCAAAGTGTTTGTTTTTCCAGTGCTGTTTGCGGGCTACATTCGTCATGCGCAGGTGCGGGAATACTCTCACTGTCGCCCTACCACAGGTCCCAGAAAGTGTACGAACCTACTCGCTACGACTATCGGCTTAGTATCTGTCATCGGACTATTCATTGTTGCCAACTGGCAGATGACTTCGGCTATTCGTGTTCACTACTTTGGATCTCAATGCTGCTTCTATGGAGCCAACATATATTTTATTTTCCAGGTTTGTTGACTTCAGTGCATAAATGATTTATTGTGAGGGATACAGTAAAACCCCTCTTAATTGTATCCTGTGGTACCGAGACTAAGAAAGTTTACTGTACTGAATAGACAAATTCCTTTAAAATCATTGCAAATTGGAAAATTATAATGGTATTTAATTTAGATAAACCAGTGTTCATATAAATAATAATAGATATATAGTATAATTGTATTTGCAGAATATCTATACCGTATATTACTAGAAAACTGGGGCTCATAAAAAACATGTTGTAAAAATACAAAAAAAAGTTCCATGTGCCAAAGGTTCGATATAAATTTCTTGTATGATCGCATCAAGTGTTAAATAAAATTTACAGGTATTTAAGGTATAAATTTTGTACTTGTTACCATTGGGCTTTCCTTCCAAATGTCTTTAAAATGTTAATAACATATAATTACTTCTCTATAAGAAACAAACATTGAAGATTAACAAGAGCTAAAGAGAGTCAAGAGTTAACAGTAAAATGCATTTTTAAATATTTACAATTGAGAGTAATGTTACATTGTATAACGTATAGATGATTTATTAATTCCCAATGCATCATAAGACTACAAAGAGTTGCCCAACAATACAATTAGATGTCTTACAAATTTAAAATTTAAGTCAAATGAGAAAATACAACTATTTGTAAATTGGTAACCAGTATAGGCCTATGATCAAATAGGTTTACTTTCCCTATAGGTAGTTTAAAATGTTCATATGGTCATGAATCAGGTTGAAGATTAAAGAGAATGTTAATTCCACTGTCTTTTAACAATATTAAGGTTAACTGGCTGCATGCTTAAAAACAGCTACATATATAAGTAAGGTACAGAGGAAACATTCAATGGTACACTTTAAGTGGTGTGTCTACACTAGTCACTGGTGTTTAGGGAAAGCCAAACACCACCCTTGCCCTCATTTACTACAATGCTTGTCATGGTGGAGGAAGACCCTGTGCCCAGTGTAATAGGAATTTCCCCACAAACTCGCCACTTGGGCTCTTCCATGCTTGTAGCAAGTACATTTTAAGCACAACATACCAGAACGGGCCGTCCCATAAAGAGGTTCCCTCTGTACCTTACTTCTCTGTGATCTATGGTAACAATTTCAACTACTATATCTTTCTGTCAGACAGTGTTCTCCTTCTGGATGGCCCCACAGCTCAACTCTCTACAGATATTCGTACTAAGGGCTCTACTCAGTTTGCTCATGGTCTCCCTCAACATAGGCACCAATGTTTGCAACTACATGGCCTGGAAGCTATATAACAACTTCAACCCAAGTAAATAGCGTGTCTTAACTTATGATAGTTTCAGTATAGAGTACCCTACCCCTTAACCACGCTCGCGGGGGTATGACATACCCCCGCGTATGTTAATTTTGTCATAATTTTACAAGTATGGTGGCAACCGTGGTAAGCATAACAGTATCTGCCTAAAATAGTACCATACTATCATCTGGCCGCAGAGTTGTTAGTCTTGACCGAGTCATTGACCTATTTCCTATATTATCACCACCCTGGGTCTGGCATACCCCCACGCGCATGGTTGTGTTACCAGTACTATGTTCATTAGGGGGTCTAGTGTACCCCGTGGGCATAGTAGTGTCTCAGTTTTATTATCATAATTAGTATTAATATAATTTATTGATACCAAAAGTTATAAGTATTAATAACTTTATAACTTTATCATTACATAAAGTTATAAGTATTAATAACTTTATAACTTTATCATTATAATTTTTATAGTATTGAAAGTTTGCCAAACAAACTTAGTATCTGCAAACCAATTGGATGGAAATGTTCAACCATAGAGTCCACTGATCTAGCCTCCCAGTGCAAAGGCACTTCTGCCTTGATAACCAAATTTGCCTTGGACAAAAAGACGCCAAGACCAAATTCAAGTGTAAAACCTTAAGAATCCAATGTTCCGGGGACAAATTTAAAATAATTGTGAAGTGTGTTTAAAAGTACTTCTAAACCAACCACTGGACGAGGATGTTTGAAAAAAAAAACATACACTACCTACCATAGAATTTTTTAAATTTATCAATTTTTTTTACAGTATTTTCTACAAATTGGAAAATGTAATTTATGAAATATTTACTGTTTCCATAGTTTTATACAAATATAATACTTTTGTGAAATTAAAAATAACATTTGTTTGCAATAAAACTTGTTTAACTACAATTTTTCCCTCTCTAACACCATTATTACATTTCATGATGAAAAAATTAAGGGTTCAAACTATTATTTTAAAATCAATAAATTAAAGGATATGGTAGGATCATAAAATGTACATAACATCATGAGAAAATGAATATAGATTTGAAGTCTAAAGTTTAAAGAGCTAAATATAAAAAAGCCTTTTTCATACCCATTTTTATTTGAGGGTCTGTTAGACCCCCGCACGCGCACCAGCGCAAAAAAAAAAGAAAAAAAAACAAGCACATGTGCTTAAGGGTTAAGTGATTCTAGGTTGAGTAACCTAAAAGTTAAGTTAAAATGGGCAACTAAGTAAACCTTTAAAATACTTGAAAAACTCTGTGATTTTTCTGGCTTTATCTTCTTGTGTGGTGAATAGCAAAACTTTTACATTGTTATAGCTATGAGATGGAATGAAAGTCTCTAGATAAAATCTGTGCAAACCTTGTATTAATGATATATACATATAAATGCATTAAATGCCCTATAACTGAAGTCACAAGATGGTGCATTTTAAATCTAATTAGGTGTTATTAAGCACAAAAAAGACTAAAACTCTCACAGAATACACATAGTTGATTCTTTACTTGACCTACATAGGTTTCGATTAGATACCTTACTATTACTTATTTTAAGGACTGAAAATTTAAAGATTACATTTATTTGTGCATTGGTGTTAGAGTGGAAAGAGCTATTTTGATCACAACTGTGTTTGAACTTGGTACATATCTTCAACCTTGTATTTCTATTGAATAATTTTTACAACCAATATTTTATTTGCACTTTGTATGTGTTAAGGTGTATAACGCAGAATAAATTATTTTGTTGTATTTTTATTGAGTTTGAGGTTTGGCTTTTGTTGGCCTTGTCTTAGTGCATTACCTAACATTTCATAGGATAGGAATTGACTAAGCAAACACAATTGAACTATAAGTCTATCCTCCTAAGCCTTTAGCATTCACACAGTGTTTAGCTACTTTGTAATATTGTAAATACATGCAATCCTCTCTTGATATAATTCTTCACCTATTCCCTGGGTTGACATAGACACAAGCTGTTACTTCATACATTTATTACAATCTTTATCAATACTTTACACAGATTCCAGTTACAAAGACCATCTACTGTGGAACCCTACAGACCCAGGCTATGGCTGGCACTTGGCCTACACCATCATGGAGTGGTGTTTAATGTTAACTCTCTCTCTGGCAGTTCTCTCTTTCTTCCCCGATTTCCAGAGGATTAAATTGGAAGAACCAGCAATAAAGGTAGAAACAATATGTACAGCACATAATGAGTATAGTCATCAATTGAAAATGTTGATAGTTTTTCAGTATTCCAACTAATTTTTATTTGACTGCTGAACATTTGCTTTGTTTATCTGCCATCTTGTCATGTTGTAGTTCTTTCTTAGTTTAAGTATCCCTGATCTACTATGATCAGAATTAAGTTTTCAAAATGTCATGAAGCTTAGTTTATTGATCTATGTGGAGTAATGGAAAATATCTGCAATGAGCCTGCAAAAACTTGCAATTAGTAACAATGGATTTTAAACAAGTACCTATATACTTAAAAAGAATTCAAAATTCTTGTTGTTTTAACACCCAAGGTATAGTTACAACCTTTTACAATAAACAGCACAGATAAACTAAAATAGATTCTATTTACAATTTTGTTAAAAAAGTCTTATTTGCATTTCACTTAGGAAAATGATACAGAGAAATGATTAAGTAAACAAAAACTAGAAAGGTGAAAGTTTGGAGTGACTATCTTTGAACAATGGACAAAAAGTGCTTAAGCATATATATGATATTTTGATTGTTCTATTATTATGTTTGTATTTATTGAATTTAATTGAAAATTAATTAATACACTTTGTGCAGATGAAAAGGCTGTGGAAAGATGAGCGGTCCAGCACATCAAGAGTATGAGTGGTTTGGTCATAAATAAAATGTATATAATAAATATTAGCAAGTTTTGTATTTCACCGACTAATTATTTGCCCACAACTAAAATGCATCACAGTGCAGCCGTTCAGGCTCCTTACTAACAGTTGTGAGTGTTGTCTTTTAAATATCACTAAAACAGGTAAAACAATGATATACAACAACCTTAGGACAAGAGTTAAATTGTAGCTGTGTCCTATTAATTATAATTCTTTTGGCTATCTGGATAATCTCTCTTCCTCTTCTAAAACAGCTTGTAGGTGTGTGATATAATCCTCAACTAGGACATCACTGGGGTTTTCCTTATTTATCTGATTGCTTGTCAGACATAGATCTGCATTACATGCAGTCATGCAGTGAACTCTGGAGTTTTTGTTGTATTTTTGTCAACTTGGTCTAAGGAGCCAAAACACATTTGCACAGTTCACTTAAAAATATTGGTTTCTTATTGAAGTGTCCTTTATTCCTGTTAATGTTGATTCAAAAAGAAATTATCATGAAACCTGGATAAATAACTGTTTTTATATCAAAACACCAGTACATATGAAATAAGAAATAGAAAGGTAAATGAAATATGGCATTTTTTTTACAAGTTTATCCTTTCAGTCACTTATAGTGATAATCTTAACTAACTCTTAACTATTTGGAATTGTGTATGCTGCTAATTCTGGGTTCTGCTACATTTTTTTTGACTTTCTTAGGTGATAATTATAAATTTTCTTCATTAACTGTAGTTTTTTCAAATTTATATTTCATACTATTATACATTACGTACTCTGTGTGCTTACTATTATTCACGAAGTTTAAGATTTTGGTGGCGTTTGTTATAGGAGATATCAAAGAGTACACTGCTTTTGGAGGAAGTGGTTCTAACCCATATGTTTTGTGGGGTAGTTGGGTAGTCCAACGGGTTCCTCCTACATCAAAGTTCGATACGCTAACCACAACGCCAGCCAGGGGGGAGCGAGCTGGTGTAGTGGTTAGAGCGCGGGACTTCAGTCCCTGAGGTCCCGGGTTCGATCCCCGCCAAGTCACCAATGGATTTTATCTAAGTGATAATGCCGTAACCCCTAGGTCTAGCCTGAAGTAATGTGAAAAACAATCCCAGGCTCGTGCCTAGCGTCCTTCCTAGGAAAAAAAAAAAAAAAAAAAAAAAACCACAACGCCAGCAACACACCCAAAATCAATGTACATTGTAAATTTATTATATTTGATATTTATTATTTATATTTAAAGGTATAATTTAGATTTAATTATATCATAGCACATTAAGCTAATCATTTTACAATTAGCTTTGTAAAATGAAAAGGACTTATTTTTCCTTAGCATATTATTAGGTATATTACAAATTTATACTTTTATTGCTGACAAAAATTACAGAAATCAAATGAACATAAATCGGTAATTTAACAAATCACTCGAAAACAAAAATTTGCCACACATTGTGTGTGATTGAGCCAATTATTCCTCCCTACCTTCAAACCATTGCATTAACATTAACATACCGAGGCTGTTAAATGGCACTGTAATGATCATGACATAGGGATTCTGCTTAATGAAGGAGAATATGAAAGTCAAACCTGAATGAAAGCCAGCCAGCATTAACTATATTGTGTGATGGTCAAGGTCACATGACAATCAGGTCAGTTGTGCAAGTGCAATCCTGTGTCCTGCCAAGGCCAAGGTCACAGCAGCATGGGAACTCAGGATCAGTCTGTATCTTCCTGCTCACGTGCTACAGCTGCTGCTAGTACTATCTCCAGCTAATCCCTTCCCCATCTAATACTATCCCCAGCAAAAACCATACCCATGTTAATACCCTCCAACTAATATCATATCATCCACCTAATACCAGCCACTACCATTGACTTAGATACAAGATTATTTCTATCACACCAGTTTTATTTTAACAATAAGGGGTCGCAAAATGAGTATTTGCATTTTAAATTGTTGAATTTCCCCCTATCTACCCTGAAAGAGGGAGGGGGGCAAAATTTTGATTTAGAGCAAAAAGCTAGAAAAATCATCATAAAATGATATGTTGAAGTTGCAAAATTGTATCTTAAGCTGTTAAATTTGTTAATTTATTTATGGGTGTGTAAAGACTTTTTCAACACTCTGTAGTATATTAATTAGTTAGTATATTTTTAATTTATTATTTCTAAATCCACCTGGTCTGATCTGATGCCTGAAGGTCAACATTTTTGACTCTACCTGAGAGAAATAAAAAATGTCAGACCCCGACCTAAGACCCCTAATAGTAGGCCTATTACTAAAAAAATAATAGACTTATTTATTAGTGAGTCTCCTAGGTCTTTTTGCTGATCGGATTGATGGAAACAAAAGGTAAATTCATCAAGTTGAAGCAATACCACGTGTACTTATAAACTCATAAAAGTTCCAACCTTCCGAAGAATCTGAATATAGAGAGGGGCCTCTCTGGTGAGAGCCGCCAGGACATCATAGATTCGAAATACGGCCCTGCTCACCCCCAAATAATTCTACCCCCAGCAAATACCATCCTAAGGTAATACCATCCCCAGCAAGTACTATTACCAGCTAATACTATTCCCAACTATTATCATCCCCAGCTACAACTAACTTATCTTCCCTAGTTTGTGGTACTAACCTTATAATACTACTCCAGTTTATAGTATCCCTTGTTAATACTATCCTCTACCCAGCAAATCATATTCCCAGCTGATCATATTTGGCTATGATCCAGGAATTGTTTGTGGTCTATAGTATAATTTTTGCAAATTTCACAACCAGAACTTTAAATTACAATAAATGTCAGGCGTACATTTATATATATAAATATATTTTTGAACTAATTAGCAAACCATTCATTGTTAAAAAGTGTTCACCCTCAATCGCATTCCAGAGAGGTATGGAAATGGTATTATGTAAATATGAGTTTTTGTACCACAGAGATATTATTTTATTTATAGCCGTTATTTTAGCAGTACATTAGCTAAAACCGTTCCCCGCATTGCCTTGGCCCTCCTCTACGTAATAAATGAAAAACTATACTACCAAGTATGCTTTGTTGACATTTTAGATTTTGAAGAAAAAATATTCTATCGATGATACAGAGTCTCTCAATCACCTTTTTGTCTTAATCAATTTTGAGTTTAAAAAAACACCAAAGTAAGTACTAAGTATCCAGCAAAATAATTGTTTATACTTCTGCAATAAAAATATAAAAAATTATGATTTTCTTCTTACCTCATCAGGAGAAAATTTTCATTCGACAATATTACTTTATTGGGTTATTTGACAATTAGTTTCTTTTACATATTTTAAAGTGCCATATAATGCCACTTCGCCCATTAGTTACACAAATAACTATAACTATTTTACCTACGACCGTAAACTGAGCCATTTCAGTTCAGTTCTTAGAATTGAAAAGTTCCACTTAACAGCTGTTTACTTTCATATCAACATAGTTTCATTTCATATCAGCATAGTTTTTATCATATCAACACGGGTAACGGACCAATGAGGTTCAAGGATTGAGAGAAAAGAAGTACAATTGTAATACTTCAATGTCAACTAATCAGCTGATCAGTTGACAATTTTAATTGTTGATCCGGCTTGTTCCTGTTGATACTCGCGTATTCTTAACCTAAGTTGGTGGAAGTTAAATAAAGGTTGATCTTAAAATATCAGTTAGTGAAAGTGATGTTGACGAGATAGAAATGAGAGCACAATTGTTTTGCCACCAAAATCAAAACAAAGGTACCATATGCAATTACATACCAGCAATTCATTAAATGGACGAAACAAAATAAGGTTAAATTGATAAATGAAAATGTTCTTCTGGTTTATTTTGAAACCCTCTTAACCACTTTTTCACCCAACTCGTTGTAGACCACATATTCGATGCTGAAATCTAACTGTAAATTAACTGTTTCACTATATTATTCAGTTGTCCAAAAATATATGCAATATTTCCCTAATTGTACCTGATACAGAATTATGGCAAGAATGCTGCTAGCAGAACCTATTGCCTGAAAAAGTAACGTATTATTTAACAAAGTTTTACAAACACGTAATTACATGAAATCAGCTGATTATACAATAAGTCGTTGCATCACTTTCAGTGACAATGACAATAAACGAAAACATAACCTCTCTAGGAAGTTATGAGTAGTGATTGTTAGTAATAAAAAACCAGATTTTTAGTAATTAAAAAACGCTCGTAGGTAAAGTAGTGTACGCAACTCGCGTTAATAGTCTTTACGACACTCGTAGAAGTTTTTAAGGCACGAGCCTTTTTTTATACTCATGTCGTAAAGACTAACTTAACGCAATCGTTGCGTAAACTACTATTACGAATATTATTATAATGTTTATTACTTTTACGTTACTTAAAACAAAGAAAATTTTCGGAATAATAAACAGTTTGATATACAAAGGTTGTTCAGTAAGTGAAGTGCCGAATTCTGGGAAATAGTTTTATGGATCAAAATAAAGGGAATTCCAAGAATTATATACCTAATTTTCTCATTTAAGGTGCCTTTAGAATTTAAAGCATTGTAATCTTAAAAAATACATTATGAATTTGACTATCTGAAGCTATTTTGAATATGGCTTAAACATTGTCATAACTAGTTTATATAC